TGTTTGTTTCCAGGAAAGTGTCGTCTATATTTTACCTTCAGGGGAGAGACAGTCTGTGTCTTTTCCTGTCATTTATTTTTGTCTTTGACCTTTTTTAAGGGTAGGTTCATCCACATTACAGAAGAATATATTTTTTTCACTTCCAACCAGTGTTACGTATTCATGCAGATACAGTTTTGGTTGTGAGTCTATCAGATTGTTGCCTCTACCCAAGTTTTATTTGTGATGCTCCTTGCATTGACATAAATAAAAACATCTTCCAGAAACAGTGTGAATGGATAATTCATAGACCTCGCTGTCAACAGTTTTCATAGCGACTGTTTTGGGTTTTTTGGGCTAAAGTTCCAATGGAAATTGTTGACAGCAAGGTCGGAGAATTAGTTTATAATTAAATATTATCAACACAGAAGTGGGATGCAGAGTTGCTTCACACTAAAAATACTGTGTTAAAATATACCCAGTTTAGAGTCAATATAGCACTGATTCAGTACAGGGTGAACCCAGTACCAGTGGGTAGAACCACCAAACAGATAGGTTGTTTTGTTCCAACAGGAATATAAAAACAACCCCAAAACAACCCACTGGTCCTGGGTCAAGTTAACCCTGTGTTGTGTCTGTGATATATTGACAACACACTGGGTCAGTTTCCAGTGTTATTTTTAGTGTGAAGATTGACTAGACAACCACAGAAAGAACTATTACAGAACACTGTGCACACTGACTGATATTAATGATCGTTATTGAGAATTTAACCAGTTATTAACATCAGATGTTACGTCACTTATTTTAATTTATACGCTTGCCTCAAGGAATGTAAAGATATATCGCGAGACCGTTAAATCGTGATACAAATACTTAAACTATAACGATATGGTTCCCGTACAGTTACAGTTTGTTTGAAGTAAACAGATACCCAACACATAGTCCAATGCGTTGTGTCATTGTATTTTTCCGCTCTGGTATGAAGTTAAGTCTGTGTAAAGGTCACTCTGTACAAAGGTGATGGGAATCTGGAGCAGCAGAAAAAAGGCTGACAGGAGGAGGAGGAGATGGTCTGGAAAGAAATTCATGTTTAAATCACCTCAGTCTGAGACGTCGGTGTCAGCTCAGACTGTCTTAAAATGCAAATTAAGGCTTAATGTAATTTGATGTCACTGCTCAGTTTGTTTCTCGTGAGTCTGAGCAGACAATAAAAAACACAAAAAGGTCCCTTCCTAATGCCTGGAATAATCAGTGGCATCCCATAAGGTTCTAATGCAATGGAAACATTGTTCACTACTCCAGTAAATAGGACGAACCATAGATACGTCTTGACAACAGCGCTTCAGCTCAGCTACGAGACAGATAGGTAACATTATAATAGCAAGATTCAAAGTCAATAACACTGCGTACGGTCGACAAACAGGAAATATAATGTGACAGTGTGTTTAACAGCAAGACAAGCTAGCTATCAGCTGTGTGTGTGTGTGTGTGTGTGTGTGTGTGCTATTAACATACTCTATACAGATAATTTCTTATATTATTTGTGTAGGCAGTATAACGGTGGTACAATCTACTGAATGTTGATGGAACGTAATGCAGGATTTTGCAGAATCATCCCATTTCAGCACTTTGTTCGATGACATAAAATCAGTGTGAAGCTTCAGGAAGATAAATCTGATCTGAGGAGACAAACAAGCTATTGTTGAGCACATTATGTTGTTGATCCGGTTAGTTAATGTCTGCATGATGCATGACAATATCCAGCGCTATGTCAATGCTATGTTGCATACTAGTATGTTATAGTATTTACATTTTTATGTATTACTCTTAAAGGTCCAGTGTGTAACATTTCATAGATATGTTTTCATTAGTGTACAATCACCTAATAAACCTGTATTTAACCTTTTTTAGAATAAGCGATTTTAATCTACAGAGGCAGCTGGTCGTCTTCGACGGGGTCCACCATGTTGAACTGCCATGTTTCTACAGTAGCCCAGAACAGACATGCTACTGTATATCTATGTATATCTATGTATATCTATTAAAGTGCAGGTTTTTGGTTTAGGTTATTTTCAACTGACTGGCATTCAAGTAGCTTAACTTACTCCTCCATAACTCTTCAAACTTCATTGTTACTTTTCAGAGTGGATGTCTTTCATTCTTGGTTAATTAAAATTAGTTGTGTTGTGTGTGTGTGTGTGTGTGTGTGTGTGCGTGCGTGCCAGCCTGCCGTCTCAGGGTGACCAAGTTCAATCCTTGAACCCGGATCTACTGGATGTTATAAAAACAAGGTTTTGGCTGTTTTCCCAGTTCGGAGGCCGGACACTCCCAGTGCAACCAGCTGACAGACTGGTGCATGAAACTGTACTGGGACAGACTTTATGTGAGAGGTTCCTGCCTACTTTGCTGTAATCAGAGAACATCAGTTTAAAAAAGGAACAAGAGAAACTGAGAGGGTAATTGTATATTAAGAAGTGACTTGCACTGTTCGTTGTACAGAAAGACACTCAAACACTGGCTACTTATTTAACTGGCTTTCTTGTTTGAATGTTTTCAGAGAGAAAAGAGAGAAAATGCTCAGTGGGGGTTATTGAATTGCAGTGTATTGTACCAGGCCTAACTGTATCCGAACCTCAAAATCTGTACAGAAGTTCAAACTCTTGCAGGTCGCCTGGAGTTCAAGTGCTAAATTGCTTTTACAGCATCAGGTTTTTATCAGTATAGCTTTTTCAAAATTTCAAGGCGTGATTTTTCGCTTTATATGAGAACTGCATGAGAAGAACTGAGGCATAACCCGGTCTGTTTTTGGGTCGACTGAGCTGGGGATGATGGAGAGGAGTAGGTCCTATAAGTAATTACAATTCTTACAAGAGCGCCATATGAAGCACTTTCTGTTGGAAAAGTAATGGATTCCATTAATGCACTGCTTCAGTTATCTGTCCTGTTTAAAATATTTTATTTTAAAATGAATTATGGCAACAAGTAGGTGTTTCATTTTAGTATCCACTGGATGTTTCTGTTGTCATTTGTTCACTGATACGTGGCTGAGGGTATGAAGGAGAGAGAGTTCTCTGAGGTCAGAGAAGACATGGCAGCTCTGGAGAAGGACTATGAGGAGGTTAGAGCTGATAGTGGGGGAGAGGAGGATGAAGGGGAGGAGTATTAAACATTAGGCATGCATTCCCCTATATTGATCTATGATCTGTGTGTTTAAAAAATGAAACAGCATTTTTAAAAGAGCAGCACAAATAGTTGGTTCTGTAGTTTCAGCCGGTTGCTGTCTTGGTCAGTATCAAACTGGTTTGTAAAGTAGTATTAGAGGTTAGTTTTTATTGCTATTTTGTACTACAAAGAGCTTTTTAACTCACACCACACCAGGCTGAAGTGGCGACTGTGACATATGACTGTTTTTATGTCATTAAATAATTTTTTTCAGTACACTTGCACAATGGTTTGTGACAGCGGCTCACATGTTGAGCTGAATTACATTTCTGTGTCTCTATGAACATCTGTACAGCCGTTCTTATGGCAGCTGTCCCTTTAACGTCCCTCCAGAAGCTACTGATCCGTTTCTGGTTTGGGGTCATATAGTTTAGGAGATCCGATGAGGGGTTCCTGTTGAGTTCACAGAGTCCACTGAGTAATCTGAGGGTCTGCCTCTATTTCTGACCTCCTTCCATTCATATAGCTAAACTGGGCAACGTGACTCTGCAGGCCAGGAGGATAGGGAGTGTAATGGTAGATTCAGTTTCTTTGCCTCCCCCTTCCTAACACAAGATGCCAGGTCCTTTTGAGTTTTGTAGATTGTGATGTCTGGACTTGGCTTTGCACCTGAATGCAAGATCCTGCAGGACACCTCATATGTAAAACACACCCGCACGGGGTCGGCCCCGATGCCTGCAGTGGGCAGAGGGGTGGGAAAGCACTTCTTGGAGGGCCAGCAGACAAAGGGGTGTGAAAGAGGTGGTCCTCAGGTATAAATGTTCAGATCTCCCCACGTTCGGGGTCTTTCTTCATCTTTGACCGCTCGTGTGTTGATTGACCTTTTCTTTGCAAAGAAAATAAAACCTTGTCGGCCGACAGAAGTTCTCTATTTCATTCTTCACCAGCAGCAGAGAAATTTCCACAACAGGAGCCACGCACACGCACACGCACACGCACATTCATGCACCAGTCTGTCCAGACACTGGCCCAACACACCTGTGTGACACTTCTGGAGTACTTGCCCACATGTGGTTTCAGGTCTACGTGTATGTGGGTTGTTTTGTGTATGTGGACACTTTCTGAAAATGCTGTATCATCACTGGAATGACAGAGAGCTGATTGTGAAGGACAAAGTGTGTGTGTGTGTGTGTGTGTGTGTGTGTGTGTGTGTGTGTGTGTGTGTGTGTGTGTGTGGTGTCCACATTGACAGAAATAAGACCACTAAGGACAGAGACAGCGAGGGAAAAGAAAGAAGGGGAAGATTTAGTGAAAGGGAGGACGTTGTACAGTGTATATGACCTACTGTGGAAACAAAACCAGATATTCAAACCTGTCTGGGTACAGCTTTTCCAAATTGTATCCTTACTTAAAGGTCCAGTGTGTAACATTTAGGAGGCTCTGTTGGCAGAAATGGAATATAATTTTCAGGTTTGTTTTTTTTTCATCACCTGAAAGCCAGTGTTTTTTTTTTTTTCTCTCTTCTGGGTTCTGGGTACTAAGGCTTTTAGTAGCCGCCCACCAAAAAACATAATCTATCAAACAACACAAAACAAATTATTCACTTTTTGTATCTGTAGAGGAATGTCAAATTATAAAATGTCCTTTTATTCCTCGATTATAGTAAGAAACAATTACTATAAAGTTCTTTATAGACAGGTGTGTTGGATAGGAAACTGTTGATCACTTGTACTTGATTTATGACCTTCATCAGGTGAACAGCAGCACCTTCCTCACGTCCACTGAAACTGAATATGAGTTTTAGGTCTCGGGACCAAAACGTCATTAATAATTTAGTACAGGTGATGAACAGTATGTGTGGGATTTTATCATTCTTTTATTCTTTTAATATTTTCATTGAATTCATAGTAAGTGTTTGTCTGTACTGTATTTTAAAAAGGAAATAAAGCAGTTTGATTATTAAACTTGAACTTGCAGACAGAGATGGAGAACGTAGGGGTCATATTTTACTGACCCAGTTAACTCCAGTAGCAGACAGGAGGGAATATAACACTTCGAGACACACAAATGCACACACAAGCACATTGAAAGTGTCCTTAAAAGCCATTAGAAACAAACTTATCCATTATTATTACAATATTTATAGACATATAACATCATTGCGTATTAAATTGCATAAAAACTGACACAAAAGAAGCCTTTACAGAGGACTACATATATGCAGAAACTCACATTGTGTTTGTACCAGGTTGAAAGTGATATGTGGGGAACATTTGACACTTTCACCATATTTCTTTTTGGGTAATGCAGTTGCTCTGATAAGCCATCTGATGTTTAAATGGAACAGTACATGCTGTTCCACAAGTGTTCATTAATTTACAAATCTGACACGAAAAACACGGTCTTAGCAGTGATTTCATCAGCAATATAGATGTGCAAAATCTAAAAGAACTGGACACAAAATGTGGCCTTGGATCAAAAACTGTAGAAACATAATGAATACAAATTGTTTAGAAGTAGAACGTTGATTTGTTTCATTGCTTTGATTCAGTTTTTTTAAGCTTTAGTAACCAAGAAAATATCCTGTGACTCTGAAACTGATTGAAGGGGACCAACTGTGGATTTAACTGTTGTTGTGCATTTTGCATCTTTTCAAACATTGTTGGAGCGTTTCTTATAGTCTTAACCAGCTGTGCTGCAAGATGAATTTGAGGGTTTGCAAAATGAGAATTGCAGCCAAACCAAAGTAGACCTCCTTCAAATAAGGGTAATGTTTTCCTGGGGGAGGTAAAAGTCTTTGGTTGAGAGATGATGGATCACATATTTGTTTCAAGGGCTTAAACACTGATCTATGGCACTGATGCAAAAAGTAACTGAGAGACAGCTGGAGGAAGGTTTCCATATGTTTCCATGTGATTACTCATCGGTTCTGCCGGTTAATAGAGCATTTAAAGTTGACTGCAGTTTAGGAAGGACTAGAATAGATTTGAGAGAAACTGTTAAAATACTGGAAGGGTTTGTGAAGTGAATTGTGGCTAATTTGTGCAATAAAAACTTCACTCTTCATTCACCAGTTAGACGAGAAGGGAACTAGCTCCTCAGATACTGGGACTGTGCTGCCCCTTGCAGGCCAACGGATGATATTGCAAAGCTGACAGGTAGTGAGTTTGTTGAATGGAGGGAGAGGCTGCAAACAGCAAAGAAGATATAAAATGATTATATAAAAATTTATAGAAACTGCTGTTTGCATTTTTTGTTAAATACGAAGTTAGTAATGGAAATATTTTCAGGATATTGTGCTTTCTTATCGCACTTGAACATTGAAGTGGCAGTGGCCCCGAACTAACTTGAGACTGTTGCTTTAAAGCTTTATAAATAGATTTACAACGCAGTAGTTTAAAGTTTTGTGTATTTCTCTTTTGATTTTTTTACGGTTGTCATGACTCTTTTATTATTATCTATTATTAGTTGGAGCTCTCAGTGACATTTTCATAGATCCAAGCAATGTGCTGCTGCTACAATGACCATAACTCATCCTTGTTGGCTCAGAACGAGAGTTTGAAGTTGGAAACAGCAGTTGATAAAACAACTAACAACCAGTCAAACTCACTCTCTGATCTTTCAGATCAAGAATAAACTTTGACACTCAGCAGATGTTGACAGAAGGTGAGATAAGGCGTCCATTCAAATTCACAGCTCAGACTTTGTGATGACGCAAATTCTCACGTCCACTCTTTTTGTCTGCTGTAAACCAACAGACCTGTCTTTGTCAATGATCCATGCACATGTTTAAGGTGTGAAACCCCAGCAATGTGTTGTCAAACCTTTCTCTTACTTTCACTTCAAAAATAGAATAAAATTGCTCATTTTAAAATGCTGTCTCAAGACAAAAAAGCTGAAGAGAAGAAATTAAAGAAGCTGAACAAAGAGACTCAGAATATGATTTTTGTAGGAAATTCTAACAAACATATTGGCTGTTTTGTGTTGTCAGTGGCTTCCCACCTCTTTGCAGTATGGACTGTGGAACTGAAAAGTTGTTTTTTTTTCTCGAAAAATGTTCTAACAATCTCTGGCTCCAGCCTCTCAAATGTGAGGATTTGCTGCTTTTCAGGCTGAATATCTTTGGATTTTGGACGGACAAAAGAAAATTAGAGGTGCATTTATGCAATTATTTCTGTTACTGAGAGATATTCAACATCTGCTGGACTAATTAATTGTTTGGTCGATAACATCCACATCTATTTTCAGTTCACTCTCACAGAAGACTAAATGAAACTATAAGTTCTTACACTGGACAAGCTGGAGCAAGAGAATTAATGGCACTTTTCCTTAAAAAAATTACTGAAATGGTTAATCGATTATAAAAATTGTTGCCAATTCCATCTGTGAATGGTTTCAGCACTAAAAAAAATCATCACATGATAATGTATATGATGAATAGTTTCAGCCCGAGTGTACTGAATAAACGACATAAAGCTTTGCAGGTTTGCACATTGCAAAGACAAGTCTTTCTTTCTCTAAAATCAGTTTGTTTCTGTTAGAGAGACCTCAGAGATCACAATCCCTGCTCTGTGTCAGACTCTCTGCTGCCCCTCTGTGGCGATGAGTATGTACTGCTGTTAGTCCAATTCATAGGAGCTGCTGTCAAGCTGCATCTTGAGGGACTTGAAATCCGGCCTGTCTCCTGGCTCGGCACTCCAACATTTCAGCATGATTTTGTAGAGAAAGTCGGGACATTTAGCCGGAGCTGGCATCCTGTACCCGCGGCTAACCTGCTCGTACACTTCCTGGTTGCTAAGGGCTGGGGAGAACAAGAGAGCGGGGAAAAACAAGAGGTTAAACATTTGTTTCCACTAAAACACCTGTAGATGCACCTGGGGGGCTTTCTCTATATATTCCGTAGTTAAGCTGTAGTTTTGATGGTGGTGAGTTTGGAAAATGATCTAAAACAAACTAAACTCATGTTAGAGTCTGTCCTTTATCATACCATGACCTCCACCTCTGGTGCAACTTTATAGAAAATAGTTTCTTTATTGGCATAAATGGATCATAATATTCATAGGTATGTTTTAATTTGTCTATAATCAACTAAAAATACAAATTGTTTTGGTTCAATATCTTAGAATGAGCCACTTTAACGACAGAGGCAGCGGGTTCGAGGCTTCATCAGTCTGAATCAGTCAAATCGAGCAGGTATTTCAGCAGGATTTTGTCCCCCGTTGGAATCACTTTTTCCTCAAGCAGCTCAACTTCATATTTCGTTTCACCATTTATTATTGAATGAAGGTGCTGCAAACTCTATTTCTAAAACATCTAATGCAAAAAAAAGATTCCACCAACCTGGGTAAGGAACGCCTCCGTGAGTGGTAATCTCATAGAGCAAGACACCGAAAGACCAGACGTCTGACTTGTTGGAGAACATCCCATGGCTGATGGCCTCAGGAGCGCTCCACTTGTAGGGAATCTTTTTATCTTCTGTGATGTAGAACGGCTCCTGGATGAGGAATATTTGTTTTAAAAGCTGCAGCCTTGGTCTGACTTTAAAGACCCAAACCTTTCCTCCCTCCCTACCTTGATCACTCTGGCCAGTCCGAAGTCGGCTACCTTACAGATGTAGTCCTCTCCCACCAGGACATTTCGAGCTGCCAAGTCTCTGTGGATGCTGTTCTTCTCCTCCAGGTATGACATCCCATCAGCCACCTGGGCTCCCATGTCAACGAGCGCTGCTATGTCTTGATTCTGCCCCTCTGGACCTGAAAGGGAGAAACGATCAACACCGAGAATCAGACCCCAGCAATTTATAAAGAAAGCTCTCACCACAAACTACAGCCTCCAAAAAGTGAACATTAAAACCTTCATGAAGGTCAGATTTATTGAAGTTCCATATATTTTTAGCAAGATATGCCTTTTTGTAAACAGTGCAAGTTTCAAAGGCCAGGCGGCTGAAATGAAAGAAACACCCTGACCCTGAAACTCCCCAACCACAAACCAAAGCTCCATCCCTCTAATCTTGACCTAACCCTAGCGCACAAAGCTCTTGGTCCTCACAAAACACAGAGGTACACTGAGCCTTACTTCTGAGGAAGCTGAGCAGGCTGCCCTTCTCCATCAGCTCGGTGATGATGTAGTAAGGAGTTGTGGCCGTGCAGACGGCGAACAGAGCGATGAGGTGACGATGGCGGAGACTCTTCAGGATCTGAACTTCCCTCTGAAATTCTCGGTGGTTCAACTCTGAGTCTGAGAGAGAGAAACAAAAAGGGAATTAAAAAAGGGGTAAAAAAAGAAAAAATCCCAGACATGAAGAAGAAGAGCAGAGACAAAGGAGGAATGGGGGGAGGGAGAAAATAAGAAGCGAAAGAATGAAACCAAAGAAACGACACTGAAATCTTGATGATTTAACATATATTTAAAGCATTAAAGGGAAGATGTGGTGGCTAGAAAATACTCTAAATTTGGACACAGGATTTTATGGGGGTTTCATGAATGTAATTTTAAAGAATTTTTAAACAGAAATGTTCATGTAGCACAATGATAGTGGAACTATTTTACTATATGTATGTTTGATGAAATCATGCTAATAACTGTGGTAATCATACAATGGATTGCACAGAGGAAGCAACCATTCATGCAGTATCAGTACACACGCCAGCTACACACGAGGGGAATATCTTAACATGCTGCTGGTGCGATCATTGTTATTTAAAGAGCAACAAAAGACAACACATTTTTATTCATCTTGTACTTTGTGTTAAGACACACACACGTTTTAATCCGCCTTTCTGGTCGTGCAGAGACACTTTTATGGTCAACTGACCGGCCACATTGTGGATTATCACACTGAGCGTAAGCACAGAACTCCCTGTCGGTTTCGTTCTGTCACATTTCCAATAAGTTTATTTAAATAAGACGACTGTACAAACAGTCTTTTGAACAAAAAGTAAGAAGAAAAATGTGAAAAATACGGATCCCCAACATGGTCTGTCTGTGCTGCAGTGAAGTTCTGTTTTATATCACAACAGTCTCAGTGAAGACCACAGTTTTAGCCACAACAGCAGCTGAGTTGGGAAATCAGCCAACAGAACAGCTGAAATGGCAGACAGCCGACCAGATTCTGACATCCCAGTGTCAGATTGCCAATCGACCTCAAGCTGCACAGGAAACAACAACCGATCAGCTGGGCCTGATTCAAATATTACTTGAGATTGCATACAGAGTCTGTCTGGTTTAAGAGGCATAAAATCTATTCTCACATCTTATTTGTTTGATCCACTCACTGTTTCCTAAAGGCAGAAGTACACCCCCTCCCCAACAAAACAAAGAGCAACAAAGAGATGGGGGAAAAAAACTAAGCTTGTAAATTGTCTAAGTCTTAAAAGTAATACTGTTGCCGTGATCAATATCCGACAGTTCATTTTGTGCCAGTGTTATTTGCCTCCATGAATCAACCTGCTGTGGAACGAATGCAAGATATGCGGATTTTATATTTCAGTAACAGTTACAGTTACAGCCTGTAAAGCTCTGTTTGTACACCCCAACCACCACCCCACCACCCCCCGCCCCCCCAAGCACAAGGTACATTACACTGCAGGTAACCATAGCAACAGTGCTTGCTGACAGGTGACTGCATTATCTGTTATTTTTATATACAAAGACATTTGTGCCGAACTGATAAGTAGGTTAATCAGTTAGTTGGCAGCAAAGTCAAGAACATTCTTTGGTTCGAGCTTCTCAAATGTGAGGATTTGCTTTGTTTTAATGTAAATGGACTATTTGTGGATTTTAGACTTTGAGATAACTGGCGTCACCTTGGACTCTTGACATTTTGTAGACTCACTGTTTAATTGATCCTTAAACCAATATGTAACCAAATATGGAAAAAAAAAAGGTATCTGGATAGTTTTGTTTTGTAATATTGTATTGATTCTTACGTTTAAACCCCCCAAACATAAACTGAGGGCTGTGATGTTGGATGTTTCAGGGAGTCTGATAAATTAAAAAATACAGATCCTCTCAAAGTCCTCAAATCTTATGACTCAGCTTACGTGACAAGCAACATTTCCAGATTAACAGAAGGGGAATGACTGCTAGTCAATCCTGGGTTTTATTACACTGGGACAACCTTAGTGAGTGTTGCTCTGAGGGTACTATACAATAGAGTTTCAGTCTGAAGTTGTTTTTGAACAGTGATACTTAAAAATGATGCAATACATAAACCATGTACTTCCTGATTTATACATTATTACGGTACAATAAATGAGTCACAGGGTTAATCAGATCACTGAGCTACCTGACAGACAGCATCACCCACTTGGCTACTCCCACAACCTGCACTCACTTTACGTTCTACAGGTGTTTGTTACACACACACACACACACACACACACACACACACACACACACACACACACACACACACACACACACAGCTGATTGCATTAGCACATACTTTAAACTGAGAGGATGAATTTCTACTTAACCTGAAAAGAATTTCAACGATTTGTTACACAAACAAGGTGTCAATCACTTCCACTCGTAACAATGCTGTCTGCATTGCCAAATATGTATGACAGCCTCTGGTGTTCATCAATGGAGATTAGTCTTAACCTTTTAAAGGTTAACATTTGACTGAAACTGGGTGTAGTTTCAGTCAAATGTGGTCTAACATGTTGATGACAATGCACATTTGTATTTTTTTTTTGCATGAAGAGATGATCAAATACCACTTTTGAGGATCTTGATGGCGACATTAATAATGTTTTTCCAGCGTCCCCGGTAGACGTCCGCAAAGTAGCCGGTGCCCAGCTCCTCCTCCAGGGTGAACTCCTCTTTCGGGAGCTCCCACTCGTCCACCGTAAAATGATTCAAATCTGGGGTGGTGGGCTTTTTCTGATGGAGGAAACACACACACACTTGTAGGTTATAAAGGGACACAAATACAGTACATATGTTCTATATAGGCCGGTCTGACACACAATCTCAGAATGCAAAATTTGGAAACATTTTAGTCCATAAAATGACAAAAAAAATTGAAAAATGCCTATGACAATTTGCGTTACGTCTAAGGGGAAGTCAAATGTCTTGTTTTGTTGAAGCAACAGTCCAAAACCCAAAGATATTCAGTTTATTACCTCATAAGAGAAAGAAAATGAGCAAATCCTCACAATTCAGACTGGGAAATTTTAGGGCATTTTTGCTTGAAAAATTACCAGTTAACACTAAAAGTTAATAAATTATCAAAATAGTTCCTGATTACTTTGTTGTTGATCAACTAAGTGTTTCAGTCTTAGTTGACGTGGTACAAAAAAAAACAACATAAGATGCCCATATTTACATTGAACACTTACACAAAGAGGGAATTCTGTACTAAAAATGTCCCCCATCACCTCCATTGGGAGCATGTTTGAAAGGGATCTTTCAGTGACCAGTATGAGCAGGAGGAAGGATTCATCCTGACATCGTGTTCATGTAACCTGATTGGTTGGTACAGAGGTTATTGAGAGACAGGGCTGTTGCGGTGGCTGTTAGGATATATATATCTTATATATAAGATTCTTAAGTAGAAAATTAATTAATTTCTGCTAGAAGCTGACATCACAAGCACTGTAGTTTCAGTTTCTTTGTGACTTCCTAAAACAAACTTTGTGTTCAAGTTCAGAGCTTGACCAGCTTAAGGAAGCACATTAATGTACGTTCTAGCAACAAGTCTATTTAAGTGAAATATTTTTTCTACACTTCTTGTTTTCACATGACCACAAAATAAGAGGAACAAACAATTGAAGAAGCAAAAACATAGAAACACAACCAACACAGCTTGCCTTACCCTCTTGCAGGGGTTTCCCAGTGTGCCCGTGTTGGTCAGGGTGTTGATGCTGTAGTGCTCCACCAAATCAATCAGAGAACTGAACTGGTGGTTGTGCTCCACGTAAAAAATATTCTCATCTCCGTGGATCTTAAAATGCTTCACCCGATTGAGTGACCTCACTGCAGAAAGAATCACAAAAATACACAAAGTCAGATACAAACAGAAGTGGTTCACAAAATAAAGTTAGAAAATAAGTTCCTGCCGTCAGATTCTTCTGAAGGTTACATTTTTGGGTTATCAAACCATTGTAGTTTATTATGTTGCAAAAACAGCCCCAATAGATTACAAATTCTCTTTGTTTCTCTTTGTGTTTTTAACTACAACATCACAAAACTAACAGCGATAATGATTTGAAATGTATATTCCTGTTCCTCAGTATTTTAGATTTTTGGAACGTATGTGTTATTTTACTGTATTCATCAGAAGACACAAGTAAAGTGTCTCCTAAAACTGTTCTTCCTCTATCAGATTCAGATTACTTTATTGTCCATTACGCGTAAAATGGAAATTGGCACTGGCATATGTCAACACACAATATACACAACCATAAATAACATAGCAACACACAAAACAGCAGAAAGTTAAAGGGACGAGGTGGTTAGTGGCAGTAATTAAAGTGATGTAAGCTTAAATAACCATCATAACAATAAATAACACATAGCAGTAAAAATGTATATTAAAAATATATTAAAAAGGATATTAAAAATGGGGGGCAGGCAGGTTCCTAAAGGGCCTACTTAAACAGGTTCTTACTGAGGATGGTCACAGCCATTATCCGTGGGACTGTCAGTCTGCGGCCTGATGGGAGCAGCTGAAATGCTGAGTGGACGGGAATGGTTGGGGTCATTGTAGATCTGGATTGCCTTTGTGGTTATTGATTGAGAGAATAAGTCCTGTAGTTGCAGCTGTTTGCTTCCAATGATCTTTCTGGCCTGGTTTGTTCTGTTGCTTTAGGTTTCCAGTGATTTTATAATATTTTATTTAAATGAGTTAATTTCTGAGATCTGGAAACGTGGTGACAATGTCGCTAAAAGATGTCTGACAGGTAACGTCTGTATTTTTTAACTTTTCTGTGTTTTTGTGCCAGAGGGTGAGGGTTAGGGTTAGGCACTTGTTGTCAGACATTTATAATAACAATCTGAGTGTCAGTAGCACTTTTAAGCACTTCTAATGGACGTATATCGGTTGTGTGCAACTGGCAAATTTACCAAATTCTAAACTTTTTGTCCCCAATTAGTCACTCTGACACAAAGTCCATGTTGGAAGCCACTGTTGTAGGTTATATTAGAAGGTTAGCAGGCTGCATGAAATGATAGAAAACATAAATACTGACATTTTCTGTGGTTACGCTTGTGCCATTGCTCTTTGAAAGGGCATCAGTGTGAGCCTTGTGACTGTCAATGAGTAAGCTTTAGAGATGCTGGTAGGTGGATTTTGTCATTGGACAGAGCCAGGCTAGCCTTGTCTGTGCCTTTTGGTTTCCAAGCCCAGACCAGCTGAACTAAAATAATCTCCATCAGGTTGTAGGTTACCTTGCACAGTAACATAGCAAAATTGACTTATGAAGCTAGAATGATGCTAACTTTAGGCGAACAGAAGAAATGGAGGATAGAAATAACCTTTTATTATTGACGCTGACAATACATCCATGTCCCCAATGCAATATTCTGGTCTATTTATGGACTATGCAAATGCACTACAACCTACAGTTGTGAAGGGTCACATAGCAAAAGAGATCAGTGATTGTGGGTGGACTCTGTTTTAAGGCAAGGCAGTTACTAGATAAAGGAATAGTCTTGTGGCCAGGTTAATGCCCCGTGTTTATTTACCGTCTCGAGTTCCTGGTTTCCCACATGTTGGAAATGTTTATTACATCTGCCAAGGAGTTTATGTTTTTAGTGCCATTTGTCAGCAGGATTATGGGAAAACTACCGGCCCAACTTTCATGAAACTTGGTGAAGCATTGACCATGGTAGAACTCATTCAATTCTTTTCACTTTTGTTAACATTGCAAGATTAAGTCAGTTGTAATAAAGACCTATATAGTGGTTGTGGATGCTTGTAGATTTGCGTGAACTATTGGCCTTGGCAGCGGTTGCACTATAAGACTGACCTCCTAGTTCTCCTACTGAGAATGTTACTGTGACTGTTATCAAATCAGACAATGCGTGATGTTCTCCAGTAATGCAGCAGTTCATTGTGCATATGAGGAGACCTCTTGTGAGGGTCTTGGGTTCCTTATCGGCTAGATGGCCTCCCCACAAACTACTTCATTATAAAGCCAACTGTTATATACATTTACTCCCCTGTCTCTCACTCTCTTACTAAATACATCACAAGTTTTTGAACTGAAGTGAAACTCTCTCTGTACTCGCTCTATTTTAGCCCACTGACAACATTCACCATTGTTCTGTTTTTGTTCTTCCTCCAAACCTCCACCATTCCCTCCCCTGCTTGTCTTGCCTGAAAGAACGTATCCAACGTTGTCTTTCTCACTGTGTCGGATGAGGAAAGCTCCCCGGTCATTTCCTGGTCCCAGCAGGTGGCTTTGGGCCTCAAAGCGGTTCATTGTCCCAAAGTACCATCTGGATGACAGACAGACAGAAATGAAAGTAATTATTAGGAAGTGGTGGCATCTTAATCTCTACTTACTGCATTGGCTCTCCAAAACAACATCCAATATGACTATATCCTGTACCTGTGAACATCCTGGCACCTGCTTTTTAAACGATGATGGCTGCTTCATCTTTCAAGGTATAACTTTTAAGTGGTCAAAGTATCTAACCACGTCAAACGTTTCCATGGAAGTACAGCATGCAAAATGAAAGTATTTGAGTCTTCTGCTTCGGGTTATCACATGACTCTGATGGCGGCTTGACACTGGATTTTCTGCTATTAAAGGAGTGAATGCTTGCTTTTTTATACAGTTATAAGACCTTGTTGATGTGAGCTACAGAACAGTAGCTCCAGCTTTAAGCTTTGTTTTGTGTCTATTTTTTAGTTTTAGGGCTTATAGCAGTTTATTGTGAAAAAATGTCAAACATTTTCTGGTTGCAGCTTCTTAAATGTGAAGGTTTGCAGCTGTTCGTTGTCATATATGATAGTTAATTGTAAGTTTAGCTATCTGAATATCTCACAACAGGAACAGGAACAGAAAACACTAATAAACATTAGTTGCAAACCTTAAATATGTCTCCCCACAATAATTATACATAATATAAAGATAATATCATGAAAATCAGCAACTCTATAACTATTTTCAGCTTGGCAGCATCTGTTGACATCTGGGAAAACACACGTTACACACTTCCCATTCTGTTGAAGCAATAAACTGACAGAGAAAGACAAAACAAGAAGTGGTGAGGCGGACTGTCGTAGCGTTAGCGTCCCAGTTTGCATCACTGCTAAAAGACACGCAGGCATGGGACTGACATTATGAAAGGTGTTACTTTTTTTTTACAACATAAGGTTTGGGGGGAGGGGGAGATATGAGAGGCAAAAAAGTAACAAAGAAAAATGAGGACAGAGATCATGATATGGATGGAAGAGACACATCAGGGTGAGTGGCAGCAGAAAGTGAAAGGTTATGGGGAAAGTTCCTCTGTGGGTTTTAATCAAAATTCCAAACACACTGCATGAAAATGTCAAATTTGTGAGACAAATGGATGACAATGGGATGCTTTCGTTCGCATTAGGTCTTCTGTAGAAGGATAATGTTGCTAGAATATAATTATTGTAAAGATAAGCAAATGTAACATTTAAGTATGGTATGATAGGCCTGTTTGTAGTCTGCTAATATAAGATGCATACCAAAAAACTATGGATATGTTCACAATATGCTCTAAACTGGAAAGAAAAATATTGTGACATATTTCATCGCTGCCTTATAATTGCAGCAATATGTATTGGTTGAGAGTAAATGTATGTATATGATCAACAAGTGTGTATCAGCTGTGTGTTGTGACACACTTGAACTTGCATTTTAACAAGTCCAACCAGTCCCACTGTGATTACAGTGTAACAAATAGTGTGGTTTAAAAAAATGTTTGACAATGGAATTAATTTCCTCCTGTTACCTGATAATGTTTAATTGTCATGTTTATGCAGCTAAAGCATGTGTAAGGGTCAAGTTTGTGACATAAAACACGTTTAAAAGCATGTATTGACTACAGTTTTAAGCCTAAATAAAATGCAACTTAGTGTAAACCTCTGCTGTAAAACAGTGGTTCAGGTTGAAACTGGTTGAGGCAGTAAATTAGTCCTCAACACTTACATTGCTAAACGTTCCAGTCCCAAGTTGAACGTATTTTACATGATCACTAGTCTCCTGGTTTTTAAGTCTTTTGAGCATATTTGGGATACCGTGTTTACATGGATCATGAGAAACCTGGTTATTCATCTCCCTGTATAATGATAATAAGGTTATTTAGGTTTCTCATTGTCTGCCTACAGGTGTGTTTCAATGTCCCACCATCTGCACCAACCAACAAGGGAATGTTCAGAAACCAGGATAAGTTGTTTATGTGCATAGAACATAACCAGGATACTCCAAAAACCTGATGAAAACCAGTATTACTACACAAGTAAATGCACTGATTGACTCTTGCCAAGTACAAAAGCACTGACAGAAGAAAATAACTGAACAAGAAAGGTGTGTTTGTGTGCTGAACATGTGTATTGCAGTCCATTACAGGAGCCCTGCAGTATATGATCTGCCTCGTAGACAACTTGTGAGAGTTTATAATGTTAAGCTTTGGTTTAAACCATCAGGACCGGTGGCTGAACAGGCTTGGTTTGTGCGTTTAAAGTGTGCTGTATATCTCTGCATGTCTTTTATGCTATAGAACAGTGTCCTAGAATCTAACAATACTATATCTATATGTTGAGACTATAGGATTTTAATTCTTAGTTTGATTCACTTCACATGAGTTTGCATAACAAGTCCAAAGTTGGCTGCAGTGGAGTTCTGCGGAACCACAGGTGTTATAAAGTTATGAAGAGAAGTAGGTCTGTTTCTTTATGGAGGTATTTAGAGAAGGTGCACCACTCACGGTTGCATTTCCAGTGACTCGGCTCTGGCCAGGTAGTTGCTGGGTACGATCCCGGTGTCCAGGACGCGCCCGTTCTTATCGATCCTCCGTGCGGTCCACCAGTCCCCGCTGCGGCTGATGACACTGAACAGGTCCCCCTCCTGGAACGACAGCTCATCCGTGTGCCGCGATTCAAACGGCCAGATCGCCGTGTAGATACACCCACTCTCGGGCACTCTCTCCAGCGTCGGCGCCGGACTCGGACTCGGTTGTCTGACCTCCCCGCTACTGCTGAAGCCTCCTCCTCCTCCTCCTCCTCCTCCACTGCCACCATGTACTCCCCCTTCTCCCGGAGAAGCCTTTTTGTCGCTGAAAATCCTCTGCCATAGTGTTTCCAGACATGGACAAGCTTTCCGCAGACACTCACCCATAGATGAGCATGAACGGCCCCCCGCTCGGAGCCGCCTCTCGGTGGCAGACAGCCGGCTGCACCTGTTGGGCAGGTAGACAGGATGGAGGCGCCGGGAATCCTCGGAATGCCTTCACAGAGAACAGCTGCTGCTGCTGTATCTGTTTGTCCTGCTGAGACTGTGACTACTGTGCTATAAGACAACAACTTCCTTAAAGCCAGGCAATAATAAAACACCCGGAACTCCGCCTATATCTGACAGATGCGTCATAAATGATTTGGATGAATTTTGAGTAGATTATTTAATATGTAGGGAACTTTTTATACAAATCTGTCTGTATTGTGTATTTTTTTTCAATAGTTTTTAACAATCATACATGTTTAATATATTAGAAAGTTTACTTTACATGGACTTTTCTTCACAGATGTGAACCAGATGCTGAGATACAGGCTTACTGTGTATATTTTTTTAAGTTTTCTAGCATGCCCTAAAATCACTGGTCTATATTGTATTTATTATTGTAAGTTTTTAAGTAATTAAGGAGAAATTTCTTTTATAAGGTTTGATTGAATAATAAAAAAATATACAAAATAATTGCATAACTACATATAAGTAAAAAATACAAATAAAAATGGAAATAGAAATATAATAAGAGACTACATACCTTTTTTTATAGTAGTCAAATATATACACAACATATGCTAATATATACAAAGTAAAGGCATTCCACAGTATGTGCCAACAGAAATGAAGTAGTAACGAGTTTTAAAGATTGTGGTGATGCCGAAGTTATATTTTTACAAGAATGACAGAATAATCCGGTGTATTTCACATTAACAATTAACCACAGTAACATTCAGCAACAGTTTAACGACTGATGACTCAGAGTAAACTTACTGGTCTGCGTTCACTTTAAGTATGTCTGAACCAGTTTTATTAAACTCATGAGTGTTCAGTCTCTTAATCCCACCAATGACAGTGAAACTCGGGTGGAAATAACTACAAAGACATTCATATCATACCAACATTTATCTGCAGATCTCTAATATGACAGGAGGACAGGTGAGGTTGTTTTATTGTTTTTATTATTTTTCATTGGGACTAAGCACTTCCGGGTTGCCTTTGGTATGTTCTATATAAAGAAATCTTGCCTTGGGGGAAAAAAACATTTGATACATTCTTAACACAAGGTTCACAACCTTCATCGGTCGTCACGAGCTTCTGGTGTATTTTACATAAGTGGAGCTTTTGTCAAACAGGATTTTTGTGTACAAGTTGCAAATGTTTGTACTCTTCTTACTGTTGGCTGCAGTGGGAGGATAAAGTCTCACTGAAGAGCTTCATGTTGGCTTTTCCTGATTATTATGAAATTAATGCCAGTAAAATGTAATGATTGCGGTGATTATTAAAGGGAAGCGTTGTCACTTTTCAACCAGCTTTGTATAATTGCGATGTGTGTATGCAAATTAACAATGCAGAAAGGCAAAAGTCTGACAGGTGACATGTTTCAGCCAAGGGCTGCTGTTTGAACTGCAGATTGTACTTCTGGATTTTTTTGTTGGCCTGCCTCCACAGACAGTCGCTCCAAAACATCCTGACCAAAATCATCTGGATAAAACAACCAGTGGAAGAGTGTGGCAGAAAGTTCCTGTAGATATGGAAGAAAACTATTTTAATAGTTTAATGCTGCGATAAGACATTCAGGTCTGCAGTGCGGAGGAATTGTGATGTATGGAGAAGGGTTAGGGGTTAGGGAGGAGTTTGGAAGAGTTGGAGTGACATTGGAAGGCAATCAGCCAAGGTTTTCTACCTTTGTGCAAAAGGGAATACCACAGTCCTTTTTTCCATGTTTTCTCTGGTCATGTCGCACTAATTTCAAGAATATTTGTGTCTTTCTACTGCATAGAGCCTAGATTTATAAAAAGACCATCTTTACAGTACTGAAATATTCCTTTTTAAAGGTGAGACGAGCATAAATCTTACGAGGGACAGATCAGGTGTTGTACTGCTGACGCTTTACAGGCCAATAAGGCTCAACTATTTGTAATAGGATTGAGGAGTATAAATTGTTTTTTTTACATGTATTTTGAGGCTGATTAACATGTACTCTTAGGAATAGTGTGATACTCTTTAGTCCAAATGTAATTACTACATGTTAAGTGTCTTTGTCATTCCTGCTGAAAAGCATCACATTCATCTGGCAGTTTTTTGGAAAATTGGGACAAAATGGGAGAAAAATATTAATATAAAAACTGACTCTGTGAAAAGGAGACATTAGACTCTCTGGAATTGATTCGGTTTGTAATAGCTCCCTTGAATCCTAAACTGTGGTCTGTGTTGACTTCAACACCACCAAGAGTAAGAAAGAAAGTTCAGGCTTCATGAAAATGACTCAAAATATAAAACCTGCCAAACAATTGATATGGACTGTTAAAAACAAACTGAAGTTTTTCTTTCTGAGCAATTGGCTCCTCAGTTCATATCTGGTAGCAGTGCTACTGTATGTAAATGGAGAAGCGAACCCTTTTCCCTCAAAAATGAACTGACAACAGCTTCGTCATCGCCACCTTTCATGGTGTTTTAATTTGTCCACCGACACTTCCAATTCCAAAAGATCCCAAATCCAAAAAGATGTGACGATAAAAAGCATAGACACATTTCAAAACAATACTTAAAATACTTTATTCTTTGCACTACTTGTGTTTGGTACCTGATGACACACAGCCTAGAACATAAAACTTCAATGTTGTCATTCGGTGATTTATGGCTAAAGTTTCCTGAACTTGGCTTCGCCTGCTGTAAATATCATGCATAAAAGACAAAAGTTGCATTGTTCTCAAATTGCATTGCAATCCCACTCCCCACTCCCCGCCGCCCCCAAGAGTCTTCTGGATATGGCTGATTCACTGTGCAGGTCTTTTTGCCGTAGGTTCTTTACAGTTCTTTATAATTCCACATGTTGAAGTGTAGTGCATGGACATAGTGTAAACATAGGCACTCTCGTTGCAACAGGGCATTATTGTGTGCCTCGGAGAGAGGTTTAATAACTTAAGGCCTGTACACATGGCTCCATGGCCCACTGGCTTTTCAAGCACTGCGTCAGCCCCCCCCCAAAAAAACATCTCACAGGAAGATTGAAAAACAATTCCCAAACTATTCTAGAGAAACTTGTATCCAAGTGTATTAAATATGTAACATTTTGTCAAAACAGTCTCAAATTCCAGTAAGAGAAGGTCGGCTGAATAAAATACTTCACGCTTGTGGTTAATAAGAAGACTATCGGTGTATAGCCACGCTAGGAGCCCGTGAGGTTAGAAACAGAAAGTGGTGGATGGATTAAAAAAAGAAATGGAGAAAGCTTTGACTAGATCCCTTTTATCTAATAAAATGTTAACTTTGTCCTGAGGGTGTCGATATAAATCACATTGGTTATTCTCTGATCGGTGGGTTAGGACATCTAGACTTACCAGGCTCAGCTCGACGTGGTTCAACTTTCATCAATGTAAGCTTCACCGTTAGCCTGTACCTGTGCTTTGAGCTCAACCCTGCCATGCTATATGTGCTAACGTGCTAATGATTGGCTTTTTTTTTTTTTCATTTTAATAGGTTAATAAACTGGTAAAGTTCAGTAGTTTGTTAATTGGCAAGCTAACATGCTGAAGCAGTGATGTGACACTCCAATGGTGTATTTACAACATGCTAAATGGTGAGCTTTACTAGTGTTGTAGGTTTGGTTTTTTTTTAAATTGTGCACAGAGCCAGGCTAACTGTTTCCCTCCGTTTCCAGTCTTTATGCTAAGCTAGGCTAATCAAGCTCCTGGCTTTAGCTCCATAGCTAACTTAAAAACATGCGTGTGGTAAAAATCTTTTCACCCACTCTCACCGCAAGAGAGCAAAGAAGTATATCCCAAAACGTTGAACTATTCCCGTGAAGGATAGATGAGGATTTTCAGGTCTATCTTACTCGTATCTGTACAATTAAAGCTTTATTGGTCGTAATCAGAGATAACTTTGATCTATTCTGTCCTTTAACCTCAAATTAAAGCTGATAGGAATTTGGTCATTAGTTTAGAATAAGATACTCTGCTTCCAAAAACAACAAAAAAATCTGACTTAATGGTGGCGCTGGATGAAAAGTCATGGGATCACTAAAGTTGTTAGATTCATCCTTTTGGGAACATGAAGGTCTGTATTAAATATCAGGTGATTAATTCAATCCATGTCAGATATTTTACTAGACTAAAGTATCTCCAGCATCAGGCCGTTAGCGTGGCTAAAAACCCAGCAAGCATTATTTATTATTTATTTCAATTATTGCACATAACCTCAATTTTTAGCACTGGCTTCACAGTCAAAAGACAGGTGATTAATTTAAGTCCTTACCTGTGACTTTCAGAACATTTCAAAGTGTGCATACACAGACATGGCACATACAGAAGTAATAAAAAAGTATTTATAAAACACAAAAGGGTACAAAATTAAAAACAGTTGGTTCTGTGAATGTGCTGAGTGTTAAGTAGGAGTGTATTTACACACCTTTCTCAGGCTCCTTTCAGTCCTTCATTTGTCAACGTTCCTTTCTTTTAGCCTAAGAAATTAAGTATTTCTAATTTTTCTCCTCAATTTCCATCCTTTCTTTGATTTGGCAAGCATCTTCTGAGTGTCTGTCTGCTTCTGATGCTCTGCTGCCCCCGTTCCTTTCACACCTTGGTGTTTTTAAAGTACATATACCCTGTTGTGGAAGTGGATTGCATGGGGGAGAAGAACATTCCTTGCTATTTCTCATCCTCCTTTCCTTACTTCTTCAGATGTGCAGTCCATGCTGCTGCCGATGACCAGTTGCAGAACATCTGCTCCTGCACCGTTTAGAACTGTCTTCATCCTCCTCTCCTCTCACTTTCTATACCTCTATAGTCTTGAAATATATCCTGGCATATATTGAATCCAGCTGGCTGTGCAGGGCGTGGAAGGAGGGTCTCTTGGAGGGCTCAGCAGCCCAGCAGTCCATCATGATGCGGTAAATATTCTGAGGGCAGCGGGTTGGACAGGGCAGCCGAAACCCAGATGACAACAGATCCAGCACTTCCTTGTTGCTCTTTCCTAAAAAGGGAGGGATGTAAAAGCATTAAAGTTGGAGGGGTTTACTAATGTTGTAACCTTTTTCTTTTGCAGGCAGAGAATAAACCATGTTCAACATATTCCACTGTGACGTCCAGAAACAGCTCAGCTCTGAAAGGTAAAGTGAACACGACTCTTACAACATACCGAGTCAAGATATCAGTTATCTCAAAAAGTATTATCTCCATTTAGGTACTTTTTAAATCCATGAGTCATCGTATCAAATGACTGACTTCCCTGACAAGGTCATTTTAGAAATACACTACACAAATAGGACATTTGTTATCAACAACTAAATATTAAAAACACATGAATCAGCCACACTGTTGCACTAGGATACATTTCTTAATCACCATGAACGTCCTGCTGCTGCCCTAAATACTCACTAGAGCAAATGTATATTAATCCGCCTCGAAAAATAGTTCCCAACAAATTTCCCAACTATTTGGTCATGTTTGAGTAACGTTACAGTGACCAGCTGTTTCAGAAAATTATATATTTGTGACCCATTTTTAAACCTATATGGATAACTTCTTGGATGACAGATATAAGTGATTAAAACTGTTTCTCGAATGTTTTCCAGTGGCAAAATAATACTTAAAAATATTCCCAGAAGATAAAACCCACTAAGAGGGGTGTGATCATGCATTGGAATCAGTAGAACCACCTGCACACTCAGTACTTCCATTGTATTTTTATACCCATAAGTCCAACTGGTCACAACACTTTTCATAGATTACAAATATATACAGTAGTATAATATATGTACAGTAGCTGTAATTCTCCATATGAAGTAGAAAGAAGTTAACACTGTACCTTCATAAGGCATCTTGCCACGTGACATCATCTCATAGAGCAGGACCCCGAAGGACCAGACATCTGATTTTACAGAGAACCGCTGGTAAATTGCTGCTTCGGGAGCCGTCCACCGCACCGGGATCTTTGTGCTTCGACTGGCTGTATACACACTGTCCTGGAAAGAGAAACGGTGAAATGTTAACAGAATACACCCTCGAACTTTAACGGTGCACTGTGTAGCCTTTCGCTTTTCTCAAATTTGAGACTACTTATCCCATGAACCCCCAACAGACCATAAAGAGGAAACACATGCCAGTAGATTGACTTCACAAAAACAGGTATTAAAAAAGGACAACGACATGTCATAAGACCAAAAAAGATGTTGCTTTCTGATCAATAAGTCATAACCAAAAAGTAACAAAGCACAGTCTTTAATAACCTGGCTTCATGCCTAAGTGTTCAGTCTTCTTCAGGGCATGTACAAACCATATGGCCATGAATATCTTGGAATGCCAAGTACCAGCACAGAAGCCAAGCAATATACTGCTGTGGACAGCAGCAAAACGTATTTCAGCCTCCTTAATCAATCACAATCAGTTTGTGTACGCTTAAAATATTCAGACAGCCCTTTTTTAAGAGGAAAAAGAAACTGTTATATTGATCTACACTCTCATCAAAGCCACCAGACTCCATTGACAAAAACACGAATGTTTACCTCCTGCTCTTATTGTCTGAGGTTGGGTCCAAACTAACGTGTTAAAACACCAAACTAATGTTAGTTGCTGCAGATTCAGGCAGCGATAGACCAGCAGCTCTTCTGTGCTGCACAGCAACTACTGTTTTTCTGTAGTCTGGTGGCTTTGGAGAGAGCGACATAAACACTTCAGTTTTAAGACTGACAAGACAAGTAAGAGCTGTCTGAAGGTAGAATATTCTATACACTTAAACTGATTTTTTTTTTTTTTTTGGTTTAGGTGGCCACAATAATTTTTGGTGCCCTTGTCCACAGCAATATGTTGCTTAACTTCTGTGCTGGTACTCTGTCTGCTTCTCCAAACTGGGGGTGTGCCAACTGCCATCTACTGTACTTAATACACGCACTATGGATAAGTATATCATACAATCCTCAATCTAAATCTGACCTAAACCCTTTAATATTTCGCTCTACACCAGTTAGATTAGTCTTAGTTGCTTTAAAAACAAACAGAAACATGATGGATAAAACCTTCCTGATAAGAGTCAGTGTTTATTCAGAGCAGCTAACATGAGGTTAGAGTTAAAGGAAAAGTGGATTAAATGAGTCAATTTTTTGCAAAACCTGTTCCTGCCTTTTATTACAATATTTGTTTACAGTGTTAAATGCAGCACAGAGATTCTCTCTCATGGAGAATCAGATTTATTTACAGTAAATATTATTGTCTGTTGAGTCATGAGGTAATGATGTACTAAGCATTACACACTGAACCTGAACACTTGTCTCTGTCTTAGCTGATATAAAGTCTTTTGATGTCTCGGAAGCTCTTTATGAATAAAATATTCTGTTTTGAGTGCTGCTCCATTATAGTAGACAGACGGATGGAGGATGGAGTTATCCATTAAGTATACATGAGTTTACACAGGAACAACAAAGCAGACTATAAATATTTAAAAAGAACACGGATAAAGAATTAGCACTATTCTAAAATAAGAAAATGGTTCTTGACGGATGAGACAACAGAAATAACCCTTCTCTCATATAATGTGTGCATGCTGTCTCTCTTTCCCTCTCACACACACACACAGATTCTGCTTACCTTAATAATCCGAGCCAGTCCGAAGTCGGCCACCTTGCACACCAGATCGTCTCCCACCAGGATGTTCCTGGCAGCCAGGTCTCTGTGGACGATGTTTCTATCCTCCAGGTAGGCCATGCCCTCTGCGATCTGACTGCCCATGTAGATCAGATGAGCTGATGTCAGCACCTGGCCTTCAGCAGCTGAACACACACACACACAGTCAGTTAAGTAGGTGAACAATATGGATTTGTCTTCCAGGCAGGTTGTGTCTTTTTGTTCTTTTATGGCTTTGTGACATTTTAATTTTTCACTTTTCAGCAGAACATTTTTACACCACATTACACATTACACTAAATCCACATTATGAGTAGTTTCCTACTTCCAGAACAATTCATGTTTTATTCAGTTAAAAAATCTGTGACGTTACTACAAGACAACATCACACTCATCTCCCCAAACAAGTCAACCAAGTTTGAATTTGTGAAGGGGTCTTAACCCAGTTTAAAGTGTGTTCAGTTTAACCATAACGTATAGGAATTATTCAAAATATATTAGTCTAAAACTATGATCAAAGAATAAGTAAAAAAGACAGTCTGACTAAGCAATAACACTGGTTTTGGTCCATACTCTGAAACTATTACACTATATTTATTATTATAAAAAGGTGGTTATAACCTGGTGAGCAGGTGAAAATGTCCTAGAATTAAGTAAATGAGGTGCCACCTTCATGATACTTTAGCATTATTTTCTTTTGTTATAATACATATTAGTTTGTTGTCAACTATTAAATTAATCTGTAACTGTTTTGATAATCAATTTGAGACTTTTTTTAAAAAAACAAAACAAATTGAAAATGAATATTTTCTGGTTTCTTTAGTCCTCTGTGACAGTAAACTGAATTTTGGACAAAACAAGACAATTGAGGACATCACTGTGGGCTTTAGGAAACACTAAACATTTTTCACCATTTTCCTTTAGACCAAACAATTAATTGATAATGAAAACTGTTAGTTGGAGCCTTAACATACATTAGATGTATATAGACACTTTCGTCCAAAGCGACTTGAACAAGAACATTCATACTCGACAGGTACAAAGGTTAGATGTTATCACATGCTGAGAGTGGATCCCTCTCACACAAACAACTAACGGTGTGATCAGTGCTTCAGTAGAAAGGCTTAGTGTTTTCTTCTTTTCTGATTTATAACCTCTCCTTCTCAGAAAATGGGCCGCAAAGGAGTGGCAGATGTTTGTCTCAATACAGGTCATTACTTTAAATGACTCATAAAGCTCAATGTTTATTGCTGTGCAAATAAGCAAATGGAGATATCCCATTAGAAAAGCAATGTTATTTGAGGAGCACATTACATTGTTTCACTCCAGTAATAAACTGTATGCTAAGGATGTGATTTGCAAACAATGCAACAATACTAAAAAAGTGTTCATTCACACGCAGGTAGCTGATAATGATTGCAGTAGGGAGGAAATGATTTCGCTACCTGCATGTAGTTTTATTGTCGAGTAACAACTGTAAAACATGGTTCCAATTTCCAGAATGTGAGGGGAAATAATTTTGCGTCCTTTGTTGTATGATGTTTCATACTGCAACCACAAATCTAATTCTACACAGAAGGCAGATAAGAACAGTAATGATATGCAGACACACACACACAAAACACACACACACACACACACAGCATGAAGAATTAGAGATATGAGTCACACACTTCACACTTGCTTACTAAGACTCTGATTAAAGCCTTTTTGTAAAACGTCAGAACAATATTTCTCTGCCGAGCGGAGCTGCCAGAACACAGATTATAATTCCATTTGCTTTGGATTTAAGGGGGACAGATTTAACGTCACTTGGCCTAAATACTGTTTCAGAGGGCTTTCCGGAATATTTCTGAGGCAAGGGCTGAACCCCCCCCAAAATTTTTTAAATTAACTTCCCGTTCTAAACCTCTTTGCATATTAAAGCAACAGTGGAGTCTTTTCTCTTTTATAAAGCAGTCATGTGACATTTAGAAAGAGGAAATAAACTAATCCAAACACTGGGGAACTGATTTACCGTCAGTCTTCTATTGTAAAGGCAATGACGTGTAGTAGAATATTACAGGCGTTTTACGAGCCTTTATTACCCTGGCTCAGGTATGTGTGGGGAACCACATGCATTGTTATCTCTGTGTGTGTTTCAGCACTCACAGGCGAGGTATGACTTGAGGCTTCCTTTGCTCATGAGCTCGGTCACGATGTAGACCGGTTCTCCTCTGGAGCACATGGCCAGCAGCTGGATCAGCTTCGGGTGATGGAGGCTCTTCAACGCCTGGACCTCCTTCACAAACTCGTCCTGCTTCGTGTCCTCTGGAGGAGCAGAAACAGAATTATTGGTGAGTTTATACCTCCTCTTGTTCATGCTGCTTTCATGTCATTCATCTGACTTTACATTCTTTACAGCCACGTCTGTCTTCTCTTCTCCCCACAGGTTCCCACATTTTTCCAAATTGTCCTCCTTTCCATAATTTATAGTTTTACTACCATCACTCTTTTCATTCATCTCTCAACTACCACTTTACAATATTTCTCATATTCTCCCCCTAACCCTTCATTAATTCCTGCAAAACTTTTTTTAATCAGCTTTTCTTTTCCTCTCACTTTGTTAATAACCTCCACCTCTTTTTCTCTGCCTATTAATGTGTAACTTAAAGGCACAGTTTGGGTTTTGAAGAAGAGGGGCTATATGATGTTCTACAGAAAAATCATAATAGGATTATATGTGTAATATATAATATATATAATAATATTTTATCCACCTAAAAAACTCGACCTTTAAAATATAATTTCAACATTTTGACAGCTTTACCTTCCCTTGGCGCTACATTGTCTCAACCCTGTATTCTTACACCAAAGCCCAACTGTGCTGTGCACTCTGTATTCTGCCACAGATCAGCTAAAAATGATGACAGCGACTGTTCACTGTGGAGGCAAGAGGATATCTTTATGAACCAGAAGATACTGAAAGGGCTGAGGGGATGTAGTGCCAAAGGAAAGGTCTGTCTGACAGCAAGGTAGAGTGCTGAAAAATGTTCTTAAAATAGCTTACACTGAAAGTGATATTGATTTAAGGAGGGCATGCTGACCTCTATGTACTATGGGTAATACACTGACTATGTTTAAGTACTCATACAACCCCACTTCAAAAAAACCTGAACTATCCCTTTCATTTGTTATTGAAATATCACTGCTCTCCATCACTCTTCATGTTTTTGTCCATCAGTCCCTCTTTAGTCTCAGCCTCTTGAATGAACTCCCTGCCCTGGCCAATCAAAAACATGCAAGCACACAACACAATACAGGATACTTTATATCCTGTATTGTGTTGCACTGGACTGATTTCGTCTCTTATCTTGCAAGTTTCGGGGCCAGAAAAGCAAAATATTGCAGCCACGAAAACTTCACTGAGTTGTAAAATCCTGTTTTATATCAATAGAACTATCTAGAAGCCTTAAAGTTGAGGTTTTATCGTCTCATCAGCATCTGTAGCAACATGCCCAAACCAACAGTCAGTGTTTTGTTGCTGTTGTCAGTCTGCACACAGCCTCGGAGAGTAACTCAACACCAGGCTTAAAAGCTGCTGTTTCACTGTCCTCTGTGGTACATCGGAGAGAGGGGAATGAAGTTAGGTGAGGTATTAAGGAGTGAAAGAATGGACAGAAACCATTCATCTCTTTTCTGTTCTCTTTTCTCACTTGACGTTAAGCAGAAGGTCAGCAAAAACAAACATTTAAAATGGGTGTAAAATTACAATTTAATGGCTACCTTCTGTTTTTACTGCTTTAATTAAAAAAGGTAGTTCTGGAGAAATCAAATACAATGATATAGAGCGAACGACATAGCAGGTAACATAACTAACATTAGCTATGTTGTGGGATTTGCAGCTAACATGCAGAGAGGACAGCTCCAGACAGACAGACGGATGGACTCACAACTCTCCTGTTACTATAGCTAAAATCACAACAACACAAATTCTCTCTGGAACTGTTTTGGTATGGCTCGGTTTGATTCACTCTGTTTGTTTTCCATTTATAGAGCCAGGGCTGTGTACAAACACTTTTTTCTGTGTATGAGGTTAGAAACACATTAACTAGAATCGCATATCCCACCTTTGGGAAAAAAAAAAAGGTCCCCTGTGGAGTCTGTGACCACTGTGGAGTAATGTTTTGATGAGTGGCTCCCTGTATGTTTGTACTGTATACACATTCAATGGTTTCACACTATTTCACTGAGCTACAGGCTAACAAACCAGAATCAGAAACAGATTTATTGCCAAGTAGATTTTCACATACAAGGAATTTGCCTTGGTATTTGTAATATGAATATATAACATTTCAGTTTTAAAGTAAATAGAGCTGTACAGTGTTTACAGTGTAAGCAATGCTGGTTTTATGTGCTCGCAATAGAAGGAAGGAAATACAGATTCATGGATACACAGTCTCAGCAGTTTTGTTGAGAGACACTTAACATAACCTTGTTTAGAATAAAACCCCCACAGCATCTTTAAACCGCATATGTATCTCAAACACCATCTTCAGTCATTCATAGTCTTTAAAGTGCATTCGTACCTTGTTTCAGCGTCTTTATGGCCACTTTCCTGTTCTCCGTGGTCCACAGAGCCTCCCACACCTCTCCAAAGTGCCCCTCTCCCAGTTTCTTGTGGAGTCTGAACTCCTCTCGAGGTCTCTCCCACGGCTCCATGTCGAACAGTTCCCGCTGCACAGAGACGACAGCGTGAGTCCAGACAACTTTAAATCAGAATAGTTTAAAAACAAGTGGGCAGACGATGGCAAACCAAATGTACCACTCAGCTGTATGAACAACTCTGAGGGATTGCTCATTTAAAATATTCTTTGATTCATTAGTTTTACAATAACTTCCCACAGAATTTGCATGTTGTCAGTATGATTTTTAACATGAAAGAATTGTGATCCTATTGGGCAAAACAGGAAACCAGAGTTTGTTGGAATAGACCAAAGGAGGAGTGGAGGCAAAAAGATTATATTACTGAAAATATGCTTTTGATAACAAACAATGTCTTTGACTGTGAGCACTTTCCCTCAACACTGATCGGCTTTCTTTTAAATATCGTTTTTGTTCACATCTCTTTTAAAATGAGAACGATAACAAGAGACACGACCAAACAGGAAAATAAATAACAGCCTGGGTTTAATCTCCTCCTGATGCTATAGAAAGTGAAAGGCAGTACTTGCCCCTCCCTCATTACTACCATTGAGGTGCCCTTGAGCAAAGCACTTAACCCTAACTGCTCCAGTGGAGCTGCTCAGTGGCCACAGATCAGACTGTGGTTGTACTGGGAAGCTTCCAGGAGTGAATGTGATCAGGGCGTTCCTGATAAAGGGAGCATTGCTCTCACTGAATAAACAAAAATGTGACAATGGACAAAAACCTGGAGCTTGATGATAAAATCTTTTACTGTCCCAGATTCTTATTGTTCTCTTTTTTTCCAGGTTTGACACACATGCAGACAGGTTTCCTTTCTGGTGATGCATCGATCAGCAGCAAGGTAAAGTAAATGAAAGATGAAAGAATGAAGGTAAAATGAATGAACAACAGTCAGGCGTAATAAATGGCACATGAATTCAACAGTTTTATGACAAATTTATTGTCATTAACAATCAGTGCTACAAAACATTTAGTTCTAATGATCAAGTGCTTTGACAAATATAAAATGAACAGATCAATGAAATGATTAGTTTTAAAAAAAAAGACAATAAATTAAATAATTAGCCATCATTCACACATAAATAAGTGATGTTATATATATTAAATAAATTCAAGCGTTAATCAGGTGATACACAAAGTAACTTGGTGGTCAACTAAATAAATACATGAATGATCAGGTTTAGTGTTTCGTTGCCATCAAAGCTTTGGTAATGTATAAAAAACAAGAAAAAGAAACTAACTGAAATAAAAAAGGACATTTAAATTGAAATGAACAACATTTTGTTTCACTCTGTTGCTTCATCTTTTATTCACATTTTCTGTTTTCAGCTTGTTTTTCCGGTAAATATAACTAATAATGGCACAAGGATGAAAACAAAAATGTTAAGCAGATTTGTTTTCAGTCCAACTTTATTAAAATGTTTCTCCATTCAGTTATAATTATGCAGGATATAATCTCACTAATGGCTTGAGATGTGTAACCACTTGGGCTTTCACAGTCAATTGGGCGGTTTATTAGACATTTAAACAGCAGGATGAATCTGCTTTTAGTTTCTAAAAGCAGACAGAGGAATCAGACCTGTCTTTGTATTACAACGGGGCCACAAAGCACACTTCAGTTTTTCAGTTTCTGTCACTTGCCTACAGAATTACTGGGAACAAAACGTTGTGCCACGTCAATAAAAGGTAATTGAAAGCATCATTAGAGACTCTTTTTACTGGCAAACTATTTAACTGAGAGCATTTAACTACCATCTAAATGTGAGCGTCTCAGTTTCTAGAAGCAGATTTATTCTTGAGTTTGAATGATCAATGAGTATTGCATAATATATGGATAATGGCGAGCTGTATATTAATGATGAGAGAAAACACTTTAATAATGTAAAAAAAAAAAAAAAAGTCAGGCTATTTTTTTTACGTTGAATTATGAATGTGATATTCAGGATTCAAACTGAAACTAAAAGATTTTGGCAGCCATGAGGTGAACAACTCTCCATAACTTCATAACAAGTTCAGTGTGTAGGATTTAGTTCATTCTAAGGTAACAATAACAACGGTTCTTATATTCAGGTGATTACACTACGACGGAGTATTAGGGCCATTCTACGAAATTATCAATATGTACTGTTGACTGAGACAAACAGCGGCTGCTGGGCTCAGGCTGAGGCTGCCGTTTGGTTGAGCTGGTCACGTCAGATCTTGATAACTCTATCAAAGCTTTTTTCTCATTAAAACGATTACATTATTCTCGTAACATTACGACTTCTCGTAATTTCCCCCCAAAAAACACAAATGTTCCTTAGTCTGGCCCCAATACTCTGTCGTATTACACACTAATAAAAACATACTTATAAATATTATATTCCATTTCTGCCAATAGAGCCTCCTAAGTGTTACACACTGGACCTTTAAGTTGTGAAGAGTTTTCTTGCTTGACAACTTTGTTTTAGTGCTCGATATAGGGATGTGAATCAACGGCCCCTTCCAAATTGTCCAATCCATATCAATCATACGCCCCCCGGGCATCAATTACTTTCATTGATGCGGCCATGTTTTCTGACAGTCTCACGTTGCAAAACAATGACGTCACACTCATGCGTCTACGCTGCTGAGTCATGGAGGAGAGGAACAAACGGTCCAAAGTCTGACTTCATTTCACAAAGAGACTCAGAGATAATAAAACACTTGCACTGATGCTTAAAATCTGTCTTGGCCAACATCATTTCCACAGTTATTCCTGTTCAGTAATTAATAAGGGAACTGGGCCGTTACGCGGAATCAATAATGACATTGGTGTCAATAAAATCTTATTAATTCCAATCCCTAGCTCGAATGCAGCTTTGAAATCCAAAATGCTCACAGTTTGAAACACAGTATGTTTCATTTAAAACACTGACAGTGATGGTGTTTGTAGATTTCACGGCGCTACAACAAAGTCACTGAGTGGAACTTCTGCAGGGAGTCACATCAGCTCATTGAGTCATGAAATGCAAAAGGCACGCATAGAAAATCAATACTTGCATATAATTAATTGATTCAGATTTTTACTCTATTACAATCTATAAAAAAGGTTAAAAAAAGACTTAACAAAATGAAAATTAAATTAAAAATGTGAAAGTGTAAATGTTCTATCTGTATTCTCATTCACTGCCTGTTCTTTTCTTCAGTGTGTGCATTTATGTTTAATGTAGTTGTCTGTGTGATGAAAGGATGTGTGTGTGTGTGTGTGTGTGTGTGTGTGTGTGTGTGTGTGTGTGTGTGTGTGTGTGTGTGTGTGTGTGTGTGTGTGTGTGTGTTTCTGCCTCAGTGTGTCCGTGGCCTCAGACTCACAGCTTCCTCTGGAAGGGAAGAGAGAAGAGGGAGGAATCACTGAGTGGCCTCTGATGGAGAAGAAGTACTGACTTTATGTCTTTAAACACACTTTGTTTTATTATTTGTGGGGAAAAGCTGCAACTTGATCTCGTCTTTAATATCTGTAATATTCCTTTATCATTATTTAATTGTAATGTGAAGAATGGGCACGCTGCTGTTTAAATAGTCGGGTTCACATTGCAGTGAAAAGTCTCCAGATACTGAGAGAACCTCAGCGAGCTGTGCCCTGTCGTCTCCCGCTGGGCTCAAACTGATGAGCCATGAATAAAGAATAGAGCTCGCTGGGGGTTTAATTTAAGCTGCAGTGCAGAGATAGCGCGTGTAATTACAGCACTGCCTCATGGTTTTATTCTAAAACTGTTCCAAATATTTTATTCTCTCCTTAATTACACTCCAAACATGTTTGTCTCTCGGTATTAATTCATGCACATAAAGAATAAGACAGCACTCATTAAATTCTGCTGCAGTGCAACAATAGAAAGATTAATTCAAAATCTTTGTCGCACTTTGTTTCAGATTCTTACTGCAAAGACAAAAGCTGCTCAGATTAAAAAAAAAGATACTGAAACATTCTGGATTTAAAGTGGACCTTTTGCTGCCTGGAATTTAACTTGCATTATCAGCATCAATGGGAACTGTTATGAGTCATTAGTAGCTGCTGGTGTTCATTTAGAAATACTACAAAAGCAAATTTATGTTAGCTGAAGGGCAGATCCAGTTGAATAGATTTTTTTTCACACAACTTCAGCTATTGGTAAGGAGCAGAGAGAATTACTGTATAATGGAGTATTAATACGCAGGCCTTTGTTTTGCATGTGTACAGTAACTGTCGACATTATTGAAAAGTTAAATATACAAGTATCCCTTAAAATGATTATCTGTGAAATTGCTCCGCCTGTTGTCCTGTTTATGGATATTTGAAGTAGTGACCATTTTTATGTGAAACATAAGGAGCTTTCAGTTCTTGTTGATTCTGGCGACCCCTGAGGACAAACGCGGTAGTGTTCCCACCATCTCATTTTGTTGATTTAAAAAGGGGAATCCAACCCAGTGGCAGGCATCAAGAATAACTATACAGAATCTTATCACTGATGGTTTGTTAATGTAGGTCATAGAGGCATCAGTATTGAACGGAGATCGCTGTGAGTCACCGTCAGCTGGCTAAAAAAAACTGGAGGCTATATAAAAGGTTGCTGTTGCTCTTAAAACACTATTGGTGAGTCAAATTTCTTAAAACTGCTTTGTAACCACAGTTCAAGGTGTTTGAGGATGTCAGAGTCCAAGTGAGTGAGTAGTCATGACAGACTAAACATTACAAAACCTGTAGGACTGTATGCCGTCGAGTTAGACAGCTTTTTCAAGTCGAGCCATGTGAGGATATTCAGTTATACCGATAATGGAAATTCACCCCCATGAAATGTGTTTTTATCGTGATACGTGATAATATTGTACATCTTCCCATCCCTTGTCCAGACTCACAAAGATTTCATATTTGAAATTTAACTTGGTTCTCACTGAAGAGTTATTTGTTTGTCGTTTTTTATGGTAACATTAATAACCCTTTCATGTTCACGTTCCATGATGTTCAGCTGAGCCTCTGTTACAGGTAAATACTGGCTCACTCATTTAGAACTGGAAACACATTTAATGTAATTAACAGATAAAATAACTGATTTATGTATTTGTCAGCAAATATAACTCCTCCTATGAAGATCTGTAAGTGTATAAACAGATAATTATAATGAAGTAAAACACAGTTGTACTGATTTAAGAAGTTATAACTGTTGACAAATACTGTACCTTTAAAAAAAAAACTATAGCTGCTTACAACTCCATTATAGGTATGTTATAAACCATTTATTAAACATGTAGAGTTCTTAATGCTAAAGTTAAAACTCTGCAAATACAGTTCCAAAATTAACCAAAACACAAAAAATATGATAAATTAAACAGAGCCACAGCCTTAAATGATGAGCTCTAAAGTATCCTGATAGAAGAATATAATGTGTATAATTTTCCATTTTAACTGCATCATGGCTTACATGAAGAACAGTAAAATGTCTATTTTAGCTTCTGTGATTTTGTTACTATTTGGTAAAATACTGCATGTGTTTATTAAAATTGTGTATTATATATTTCTACTGAATCATATTTCAGATGTTGTATATTCATGTCACTTTTGGGGCATCAAATGTGGTCACAATGGGTCAAAATTGCTTGCAAGTGCTTATTGTGCTGCTGTCACTTAATTTCTCAATTCTGACAAACTCTTGCCCTATAAATGTCATATACGTATAATGCATGTATTGTAAAGACAGTTCTGAAGATTTTATAGTAGGTGTGTACTGATTACAACAAAGACAATTAAAAACTGATGATACATGTCTGTCATATGTGCTCTTGTACTTCTATCCTTGTGTGGACCAACTCCATTTTTAGACCTTTAAACTGACACTTTTGGAAAGTGAGGAGATTGTATTCGACCAATAACAATAATAAAAAGGTCTCCAGTTGTGATGAACCTACAGAGAATCATCAGTTGAATCTGCAGCTCCCCTCGGCTTTACAGAGCTTTTTAGTGAGTTTCGGCTCATTAAAATCTCTCCGGCTGCAACTTTAACTGTTTTGGTTAATTTTCGCTCCTCTCTCAGCGTTGTTTTCAGAGAAAAAGCCCACAGTACACTACCAGCTCAGCAGCAAACAGCAGACAGACACAGTAGCTGGGGAACAAAGTGGAGCATTTTGCAGCCAAATAGCCAATATTTCCCTCAGGAGTTGGTAGAGACTAAACGTTGAGCCAAAAGAGAATGAATATTGGACTTTATTCATCTTATGGCACAAACACAACTCCAAGTTTTTTATATATAAGATAATGTTTCTCTGTAACTGCTGCATGTGGAAATAAGCAACTGGTGACAAGTTCAACATATTAATCTAAACTTGTTTCTGCTGCCCCGAGTGGTCAAAATATGCATTCTTTTTTTGAGGTTTTTTGGTCACTTAGGTGCACATTGAAATGATCAACTTTTAAAGTTGGTAATGGTGAACTTGTTAGCAAACAGTTGCTTATTTACACATCCGCCAGACAGTTAACAACATTAACATTCAGTTAAACTTGTGTTTCTGGCTACCTCACAGGTCTCTTTTTAGCTCTCTTTTGTGCTCCACCCCACTCCTGACGGAAACACCTGGATCTTCAACGTTGACTTTATTGTCTCCCAGGGGAGGTTTTTTGCTAAATGCTCCACTATATTCACCAGCTAGTCTCTAACTCTGTCTGTTTGGCGCTGGGCAGGTAACGTACAGCGAGTTTAGGCCGTTTTAGTGCCTGCTGCTGGAGACGAGGTTAATGAGAAAGACTCTGTAGATCTCAGGGGGACCGCAAGTCTGGTGATAAATCATATGAGAAACCCTAATCCATATTACACATTCCTTTGTGCCATTGTTGATATAAAATATTGATTAGTGCAGCTTTATGGCTAGAATGCCTTGTTTATGTCAATAGGGGTCCTCACAAGAATAGAAGTAAAAACAATCAGTGTTTTTGTGCCTCTCTCTGTGTCCTACCTGCTGGGCGCAGGGCTCCTCCAGCAGCACTCCCAGGCTGCGAGGGTTTTTCTGGTAGTAGGAGATGAGCTCCCCAAGCGTAGCGAACGAGAGCTTATCTGACACGAAGTACGCGCCGATGGTGGAGCGCTGGATCCGGAAGTGGTACACCTTCCCCTCACTCCGGGCTGTGAGAGAGGAAGAGGAGTCACTGTGGTCACATATCATATGTTTAATACACAGTTCAAATTGATTATTTTACCATCAGAATCTGAAAGTGTGTGTGCGTGTGAGAGAGTGTGAGAGAGAAACTTTTGTGCAGAAAAAGGACAGCAGGGAAAATATATTAGTAGTTTTGTTAAGTAGATCAGTGGAAACATGCAGAATGAGAGTAGATATCTAAATATAACTTCTTTCAAGAGCCTTTCAGTGATTATATTTAAATCTAGTTCAGACTTTCTACAACCAAAACATCTAATGAAAAAAGATCTAAATATTTGCACACTTGGTCTCCATCGCGAACATCTAATTTATTATCTAAGATTGCTCTGATGAAGGTCTTTGTGAATCAAAGCTTAGATAATATACTGTCTGTCTGCAATGGAGTCTACATTTTCATTTGCTGTGTTTTGCATCCAGCACTTTCTTGTTTTGTGCAGTAATTTCAGTATAAATATCTAGAAACATATGCCTTTGTTGCACTCGTCTTAGTTTAACCTATTTCTGTATCAAGTGCATGACAATATTTGTGCAACTAGATAGTGTCCAGGTTCCTTTTCTGTTATTCTCTCGCTAATGTTTTCTTTTTTTATTATATTTCTCTTTTTAGTTACTTGTATGTTCACTTTTAAAGAAAGAACTGTCAATGTACAGTAAGACCAATATGTAAACTAATACAGAAACACATTCATCATAAAGACCAGCCACTCTCAATACATACAATAGAGAGAAACACGAGCATCGAGAGCATCTTTCAACAACAATGTAATTCAAAGTGCTGTATGAAAAGACAATTAAACACAATGGGAAGTCGAGCTGTTGTTTTTTGTGGCACTTTGTTGCAGTTTCTTTTTTTTACTCTACAAGGATTTTCAGTTTTTTCACATTGCACTTTGCAACAAAAAAGCACTAATGTGACCTTGAGCAGTGAATTTCCCACTTACTTTCTAATGGCCTGCCATTTAAACATCATTCATGAACTGTTTACCTGGTAAAGGTCTGCTCCTGCCACGAAGCTGCTCTGCTCCTCAAATAGCTTGCTTGCTAGCTAGCTGGTGCTAACTCACCAAAACTGAAATTTCTATTATGTAATTATTATTGCATTGATAAAAGTAAGGAAATATATTCAGAAGTAGTATTGCCAATGGGTTTTTAAACACATTTTGAAAAAGTGGGGGCCTCTCCCATAAGCTAATGCTATTAAGGGGTCTTCACATGGAAAGTTTGTGGACTAAAAATATGATACAAGATACAAATATCACCTAAATAATTTGACAGATGCTGTATTTTTTTACACAAATTGGCTTCAAATATCAAAGAATTTTAGCTAAACACAAGTCCCAATCCGACACTGACAGCAACCTCCAAATACACGTAGGACCACTAGCTCGGGATACCCTGAATTTAGACACATTATCTTATTAACATGAAGATGGTTATGTTTTTATGATTAAAAAGGAAGAGGGACAGACAGTTAATCAGACAGGAATGTGTGTAACTGTACCATAAAAACAGAGTAGCTGAACGTGTCTGCTCTGCCTTCGCTCTCGGGCCCGTATGCACACAGAGTACTGATGATGCATATTTCAGGAGGACTAGCACAGTGAAAATTGAACGTCTAACTGCAGCATTTTCCCCCCGGGACCAGAAGGACCTTGAAGAAGGGGGAAGGGGAGAGGGTGGGGAGAGTTAATGGAGGGATGGAGAGGAAAAAGGTGCAGACGCAGAAGATGCTGAAGCCAGAGGACGAAGAGAAAAGAAGGGATAAAGTCACGAGGAGCAGAGTGAGGAATGGGCTGGACGTGATTCAGGGGAGAGGGGGTAATAACGAAAGGCTTTAAAGTCACAAATCACACAAATCTCATGAGGTCCATTAGAGAATTGGCTGTGGGCTCATTCATAAAAGTGTAATCTGATGACAAAAACTGGCTTTCAAATGTAGGTTACTACGACTGCAGACGAAACACTCCCGCTAGCCGGACAGTTGCTTCAGGTTTATTGATCTCTTCTATTTCCAAGCTCTAATTTAATTTCGGGAATGAAAACTGATATGTCTAGACGTTATTAGTTGAGACAAATGCTTCCTGAAAGCTATTCAGGTGGTGTGTTCAGGTCTTTTTTTTCTCTAAATAGTAAAGTAAGAACTGCTAAATTTAGAAACAGTTCAATATTTTAGTAATATGCTTATATACTTTCTTTTTGAGAGTCTAATGTCTGTGTATAAAGTGCAGAGCTGGAGCTTTATGCATGTAAATGAACTGTCTGAGACTTCATTTTACACGTTGACTTGCTGTGAATTTCCCCTTGAGGTAATTTTATAAAAAGGAGTGCAGTCTAGACCTGCTCTATTTGAAAAGTGTCCTCAGATAACTTTTGTTATGAATTGGTGCTATACAAATAAAATTGAATTGTATGAATAAAGTATTTTTAATTCAATCTAACTCTCAAAAAGAAAGTGCAAGTCCCAAAACTATTCTATTAAAAAGATTCTCCGTCGCATTTTGCTTTTAATTTCACATTTACAACCTGATGATGTGGAAGCTGGAAGATTGGTTTGACACCCAGTTGGGCGTTTGTGGAAAGTTTGAGACACATAGAGTAACAACAACACCCCTCGATTCGGTCCATGAGTTACTTTCCTTTCTGTCTCTTCCCCATTTTATTACTAGCACTGTATTTAAAAAAATAAAGTACTAAATGTGTTACCAACAACATTTATTTATTTTTTAAGACGAAGACATGAAACAACCAAAATAAACATCTATGATAAGTAGGGCTGCGTAAAAATATCGATTCATCAATGCATTGCAATATATTTTTTCCCAATTCAATATCGATTCATTAAATCCTGATTTGCGTTGTACGGACGGAGGCCGCACTCGACCACACGACAACAACATGGCAACCGAAGCAGGTAGCAGCAGTGTTAAACCAGCGCCTTCAACTTTAATAGCAGACGTTTGGAGTCATTTTGGATTCCAGTGTAAATCCAGAACACAGGAAATAGACAAAAGTAAGGTAGTGTGTAAGCTGTGCCAGGCAGAACTAAAATACTGCAATGACAACAAATTTGCGCAGCCACTTAAGCCGACACTATGCAGATGCTCTGCAGCAACCCGCAGCTAAACCTGTGGATTCAAAACAGACGCAACTCGACAGATCCTTCCTTTGCAAACTGCCGCCAAACTCTTCCCGCGCACAGAATATAACGGAGTCTGTGGCCGTCTTCATATGTAAGGACCTACGATCGTACAGTGTTGTGGAAAACGGGGGTTTTAAGAAGATGGTATCCACACTCGAACCACGATACGCCATACCAACGCGCAAACACATGGCGGAAGTCCCCGCCCCGAAGCTGTAATTCTACTTATTACTGAATCGTTATCGAAGCATTTAAATCAATAGCGAATCAAATTCGAAACCAATTGTGACCTAAATAATCAAAATCGAATTGTGAGGTTCTTAACAATACCCAGCCCTAATGATAAGGATTTCTTCCATTTGGTTACCATGCTATGTTTTACAGTCGGAGGATGTAAAGGTGACACGGTTTCTAAATTACCTCGAAAGATATTCTTAACATCTCTGCACTTTCTGCTTCCTTAGCCACCAATACATGAGCCGATACTGATACTTCTGTGAAAGCTTGTATTGGGCGCTCGGAATATATACCCTTTAAATAAAACATTCTGTTTAAGAGGAAGTGACATGATCCTCCAAAACAAAACCCACAACATCGTATGTCAATCATATTTCCTGAATCAAGATAAATAAAGCTAAATAAACTGCGATGACACTTGTCTAATTCAGGGCCAACAATTACGTTCACATCCTGAACTGCATCTACCCACAAAATCTAGCATCACTGGACTGTAACAGTGAGCAGAGCAGACCCTGTTATTAGTTTACTGTCAGGGTCACATCATCCAAATACACCACGGCTCAGTCTGTGGAAAAAAATAACCAGCTCCTAGTCAGTCCAATCAGATGGTTTTGCCTCCCCCTTCGACCTCCAACCAGGCTGCCTGCCGGAGGGCAGCTTGTGTCACCTAATGCCCTCTATAGGAGCCGGCAGGATGGGAGGAAAGAGGCAGAGAGAGAAAATCGAAGGCAGGGAAATAAAGGTTGACAGTGGTAAGAGACCTTGAAGGGGAGTGGAGGCAGGAGGGGGTGATGAATGGAGCATGGCTGAAGAGGCAGAGAGGAGGGAGGAGGTGGGGAAGAAATGTAGAGTGTAACTAGACCGGACGTGGTACGGTGGCCAAGAACTCAAAGCTTGAAAAAATATATATATCAAAAATTAGACCAAAACTCACAGGTAATGATGAGCAAACACTTCTGATTACATGTTTCTGATATTACTGGAGATATATCTGTACTAGACTGCATTGGTTTTAGTTTGCTGTACCCAGTGTGCGAACCATACCGCGGCTTTCAGGGGAGCTCACTTTCCCTTTGTAGTGGGTATAGTTTCTGATCTGAGGTTAATGACATTGAACTGTCCTGCTTCAGTGGTGATGGCAAGAATAGAAGTATCATTTTTAAACTGAATTAGTGATGAGTCACCCATCATATATACATACATATCATAGCCTACATCAATAATACGTTCAGTACAGATAATCCCAAAATGGAAATGTATGGCAAAAATAGCCTGTTGCAGTCCCTCCAGGAAATTGTGATCGCAGCACACACATTCAACCAATCCTTGTCTCACTGGAATAAGTTGCCTTCAATTTTTAATGAATTATTTCACTTTCTCCTGCAATTTCATTGTAAAAAATGCCTAAAAAGTATCTCAACATGCATCGCAGTTTTAAAGAAAGAAAGAAAATCCAGCCTGAAATGGATGATTTCTTAGAGAGGCTGATATTGTCAGTATTTTAGAGGAGCTCATGTCTTATTAAGAGGAGCCGAGCTCTCTCCTCTCCTCTGTGGTTTGCACCCTGGGTGTTCCCAATAAACTAGCAACTCAGTGCATTGGCTGTCAAACTTGTTTGTTTTCTTATTAGTTGCAGTTACGTCAGAGCAAGTTTGTCTACTTTAACCAAACAGTTAATTGGCAGTTTTTCCTCTGAGTTGAATTCATCATAAATAAAACACATTCTTACTGAAATCAGGGGTTTTATTGCAATGGATTTATTTGTCTTGGTATGACCAGTGAACATATGGTGGCTAATGTTAGCAGACTTAAAGGACCAGTGTGTAGGATTAAGTGGCATCTGCTGGTCAGCCAGTGACTGAATACAAATAACATGGTTGTTGTTAGCTTGGCTGTTAGCTGTCCACTGCCAATCCCATGATGCCTTGGGTTAAATCTGTCGATCCAATCAGAGTCTGTGTCTCTTGCACAATGGAATAACATGAGAATAACCCCATTCCCCTATCCAGATCTACAGACCCCAGAGGGTTAATACAGCATCGGTTATCATGACAGAAAGTTTCATCATATTTACAATTCACCGTAACACAGAGTTTCTGGAATATCTTGATATATATATATATATATAAATATATATATAAATAAATAAAAGCTAAATCAGAGGAGTTTACAGATCTAAAGGATCAGAATGTATTTTTCACTACATGTTTAAATCACTGCATTATATTCACAGCGAGCTACAGCTACAATAAACAACAAATAAACCATAAAGGTCAGTGAGTGTGAATTCTGGTTTGAAGAAGGAAGTCAGAAAAACAAGAGGAAGTGGAGAGAGAGGAACCGGGGGGGGTCAGAGGTCACTGTGGATGGATGGATGGATGCACTTACCAGAGATTGTGTACTCATCACTGTGACTCTCACTGATGCGAACCAGAAAGGAGCCATCCTTGTTTTGGGAAGCCAGCAGCAGCTTCTCAGCTTTCACGCGGTTTATGTTCCCATAGTACCACCTGGCGAGACGGACGAGAGACATAGCGGGAAGAACGGACGATTACACAGACGGCATGTGAAGGAATTTCACACAAAGAAATAAATAATCACGATGAGACATGGGAGTAAATGAATGAATGAATGAATGAATGAATGAATGAACAGAGACAGGAAGAAGAATGTGTTACATGTGAAAGCAAACATACAGAAGAAAAACATATTTGCAGGTAAACAGGTAAATGTAATTATAATCATTAGCATATACTGTATATTCATTTACTACATTACTGCACACTCTGTTTACAGTTTATACATTTTACTATTTCTAATCAGGTTATCACAGCATTATATTTTATATCATATCATATCGTATATCTAGGGCTGCCCTATATGGTAAAAACATCATATTGTGATTATTTTTAAAGGCATTGTGATTGCAGTATGATTCACGACTATGCTGGGAATTGTAATTTTTTCATAACCTAAAAATGTATTATTATAATAAATAAATAAATAAATAAATAAATAAATCCCAAATCTTAATTTTGGGGCTCTGTACCAAACAAACATGTTTTCTTAGATCTGTAATCCAGTTCATCTCTTCAGCACTACTTCATTATAAAGCTGTTTTGTCACACAGTTTAGCTTTATTAAAACATGGCACCTCTTGCGATCTGCATATTGCGATTTTAATAACATTTGGATTAAGCCCCGATCACATCCACACATCTTAACTGTTGCACTGCTTTTTGTTTTAGACTATAATTTGGGTGATTTTTCTTCAGAAACATTTTTTCATGCATATCTGTGAGAGCACTGGTGGAACCTGAGATCAAATAATTGAATTGCCAACAACTCTTTCACAGTAATTCTCGTGTCTATGACCATAGAGAAATTTAATTTGTAGATATTCAGTCACAATCACCCAGAGCCCAAAGTGACACACTGTGGACTGTTTAATAATTGGACTGTTCGGTTCAACCAACAAAAAACAGCATATTCTCACATTAGAGAAGCTGAAACCATAAAATGTTTTTACATGAAAACTGACTTGATAATCAAACTAGTGCCAATTAATTTTCTGTAAATCGACTACACATTCTAGCTTTACTTCTACATTTGTAAATTAACTTGTAACTAAATCTGTCAGGTAAATGTAGTGAAATATTTCCCTCTGAGCTGTAGTGGAGTAACAGTTGAAAGTATAAAATGTTAAACTCCACTACTGCACTGATCTCATGTTGCACATTGTAAGCCGACAGTCACAGAGTAAAGAAAGTAAACATCACAGACGGTTCAACCAACTGGTTCAGTCACTTCTGTGTAGAACAGGAACATTAACTAGAATCCAGTATCATTAAGTAATCAGTAAGTCCAATATTATATATATATATTTAAAAAAAAGTGATACTTGGGGTTTATTGTGAAGTTAAACTCATAGATTAAGAAGTATTTAAATGTTGTTGCGTTCTGCCTGTTTGCTCAGATATCAGAAACTGACCTGTATTTACTTTACTTCATTATCAGGGAGGGCGGGTTGAGTTTCACTCACAGAAACAACAAACAGCGACTCAAGAACCCGGAGAGATCTCACCAGCTTTAGGATATTAGAACAGACTGGAAATATCAATGGGAATACAGTAGGTTTCTGTGAGAATACAGTAGTTTTTTAAGGGAATACAGTAGGTGTCTATGAGAATACAGTAGTTTTTTAAGGGAATACAGTAGTTTTTTTTAAGGGAATACAGTAGTTTTTTTTAAGGGAATACAGTAGTTTTCTATGGGAATACAGTAGGTTTCTATGGGAATACAGTAGGTTTCTATGGGAATACAGTAGGTTTCTATGAGAATACAGTAGGTTTCTATGGGAATACAGTAGTTTAAGGAAATACTGTAGGTTTCTATGTGAATATCGTCGTTTTTTATGGGAATACAGTAGTTTTTTAAGGGAATACAGTAGTTTAAGGGAATACTGTAGGTTTCTATGGGAATACAGTAGGTTTCTATGAGAATATCGTTATTTTTTTAAGGGAATACTGTAGGTTTCTATGGGAATACAGTAGTTTTTTAAGGGAATACAGTAGTTTTTTATGGGAATACAGTAGTTTTTTAAGGGAATACTGTAGGTTTCTATGGGAATACAGTAGTTTTTTAAGGGAATACTGTAGGTTTCTATGGGAATACAGTAGTTTTTTAAGGGAATACTGTAGGTTTCTATGGGAATACAGTAGTTTTCTATGGGAATACAGTAGTTTTTTAAGGAAATACTGTAGGTTTCTATGTGAATATCGTAGTTTTTTTAAGGGAATACAGTAGGTTTCTGTGGGAATACAGTAGGTTTCTATGGGAATACAGTAGGTTTCTATGGGAATACAGTAGGTTTCTATGGGAATACAGCAGTTTTTTAAGGGAATACTGTAGGTTTCTGTGGGAATACAGTAGGTTTCTGTGGGAATACTGTAGGAATACAATGTATTTCTAGGAGTAAAACTACTAGAGCTGAAACAGAGTCTTTTAATCAATTAGTCAATCAACAGAAAGTTAATCTGCGATCTATTTATTTTTTCATTCATTTTCCCAAGCAATAATACCACACTGGTTCTGGCTTCTCCAGTGAGGATTTGGTGCTTTTGCTGTTTCGACTTCAAATCTTATATTTCTAAACTGTATAAAAAAAAACAACCCTTGTTCTACTCCTTCCTGTACATATCAGATAAAAAGCACATTCACTTTATTTTCTCTTTCCCTTTAAGAGATCATGAAGTTATCTGACTACTAACAGTAAAGACGGACACTCAGTTTATTGGGTACACCTAGCTCAAACTAATGCAGTCTAATACAACAGTCCTGCAATAAATCCTCCCTTATAGGTTATAATGTTGTCCATTTTGACTCTGCAGTCTGTTGAATTGTATTGCTTTATATTAAAGAGATGCTTCTATTATTTTCTCTTCTTTTATTGATGTAATTAAGGTGGACAAAAGCCTCCCAGTATTTAAAGTGTACCTGTAAACTGGGCTTATCTCCTTACAGGAATGTTTTAGTGATGCTTACGGAGATAAAGGAGCCCAGTGAGGTCAGCATGAACAGCATAGTGATTGTATCTCTTTGGTTATAAAAAGATAAAACAGCAAAAATGTGTCTTTGTTTAAGGCAACAACATAAACCTTCCACGTTATTACACGGAATCAGTGACGCTACTATTGTTCTGATGTCCTTATCTTCAGTTTCAGTGGTGTGTTTGAGGACAGTGGGACAGGTGGAGTCAGTGTCGGGTCAGCAACACGAACACAGACGGTGAAGTCGACGTTAGAGAGCGAGCTCGGCTGAAACATGATGATTCCCTGCAGGCTGAATGAATAATGGAGGAACTGCAGCTGCAGGCCGGTGCACATGTGCAGGCTCTCGGCTACATTTAGCTCCAGCAGCAGAGGTTGAAGGTTTCACCTCCAAAGATTGTGTTTAAACTTTGCTTCGAATCCCAGGAGGCTACAAAGTTAAGTTTTTAGTTCTTTCACTTATAATTAGAGATGAACTTTGAATCAATTAGTCGATTACTTTGCAACTATTTTGATAATAATTTATCATTTAAGGACCGGTGTGAAGGATTTAGTGGGATGTAACGGTGAAGATTGCAACCAACTTGAATACTACTCGTCTTCCAAGCATGTAGGAGAAACTGTGGCCGTGAAGCTCTATACTACAGAACTATATTTGGACTTTGGGAAACTGTGATGGGTATTCGGATTTCAGCTTCTCCGAGAATATTTTCTGGTTTCTTTAGTCCTCTATGACTGTAAACTGAATATCTTTGGGTTGTGGACAAAATGAAACATTTGGAGAAGTCAGCTTGGGCTTTGGGAAACACCGATCAACATTTTTCACAATTTTATGACATTTTTATTAACAACTAATTGATAACTAAGGAAAAATGAACATGATCAGCTTACTTTCAGCCCTAACTGTCCGAAAGCTAAAAGAAATTCACATTTTAGATGGTAGAAACAGTGAATTTTTATAATTCATCATTCAGAATTCTAATTGTGTCTCAGCTCCAGTACGAAACTCAAAAAAATTACATTTGATAAGAGATTTAAAAAAAAGAGTAAATCATTAAAAAAAAGTCAATGGATCAATTATTAAGAACAGTTGCCAATCAACAGGGATTCACAATTTATCAAAATTGCAATATTGCGAGGTGCAATTTCGCAGCAGCTGTGATTTGTTTGATAAAAAGTGAAATGTGACAGAACAGCATTATAATGAAATACTGTAGAGCTGCAGAGACGAAATCTTGTTCCCCAGATTTAAGAAAATGTGTTTGTTTGGCACAGAACCCAAAAAATATTTCATCATCATGATTTTAATAGTTTAGTAAAAATGAAAATTTTGATGCAAAAATGATCCTTTTCACTCATCATGAATCAGACTGCAGTCACAATATCTGGCTTCAACTTCAAACCCAAAATAAGTCACATCAGGTCAGACTCGTTTCACCCAGAAGATTTCTGATCATATCAGACAACGAGGTTAAATTAAGTCTTCTGGTAGTTTCATGGTGATTGAATCAGCTCATAAAGACATTCTGACATCAACAGTTAAGTCTTTATCAGCAGAGAGGTCAAACCTCAGTCAGCTGTCAGCTTTTAGTTCCAGGATTTCTCAGTTTTCAGAATGATCTTTTGTGACTTTTTCCTTCTGAAAAATCCCTCAAAGAAACAGAATTTATGATAATGTTCATATGTTATATATTATATATTATATATATATGAACAGTTCAACCTTCTGTCCCTTTACATGCCATTTAAGCAACATTATGGGGCTTTACAGCAGGTGAAACAGCAGATTAAAGACCACTTCCCACATCAGCACCAGGATCAGGTGACAGAATCGAGCTGTGGGAGCAAACAGAGAGCAGAGGATGTGTTTTCACCACTCACTTGTGTTTGGCGAACTCGTCCTGCAGCAGAGCCACGTAGTTCGCCGGGATCAGTCCGGACTCCAGAGACCCGGTCAGCTTCTTTGCCAGCACGTACTCCCCCCGCTTCTCGATCACCGACAGCTTGTCCCCCTCCTTCACCGTCAGCTCGTCGTCGCTTCGGGCCTCGAAGTCGAAGAGCGCCGCGTAAAGCTGCACCGGCCGCTTCTTGGGCGACGGGACGCGGATGTCGCCGGACACGGTGCGGATCTCCTCCGTGTGCGCGGCCGGGTTGGCGATGACATGGTTGTGGTTGGGGACGTTTGGGTAGCGGAAGTCCGGCCAAATGCAGTTCCAGAGCCGGCTCAGACACGGCATACAGGAGCGACAGCAACTCTCCATCCCGGGACATGAAGGAGCGCGGCGGCGGGGTTATTCCAGGATTTAACCGAACACCGATCAATAAGTCGCACTTCAGGCTTCCTCAGTCCACTGAAAACGGCCTTTTACAGCCCACAGCCACCAGCCGTTCAGTTCTACGGTTTCCCTCTCTTCCCCTGGCTGGAAGCATAATGCACCGCCAGCAATAGTTGGGTAGATTAGCCGGAGGAACCGGTTTTTTCTGTTGAGATCATGGATCTGAGCTCCACGCCTGCAGTGCGCACGGCGGCTGCGGGAATGCGGAAACGGCAATGGAGGGCTTCCAAGTCGGATCGGTTCCCCGCGAGGACTCGGCGGTGTGACTCAAGATGAACCGAGAATGTGAGCATGGCTCCCGGGAAAATAGTAATCCATCGTAATCTGCGTGCAGCGGTCGATGCTCAGGTGTTACAGCACGGAGGGAAAGAGAGAGGTGAAGGTGAAGAAGCAGCAGCGCGGTGCGTAAAAAGTTTGGGTTTTGGCGCTCCGCACACCCCCTGCTGCTCACACACCTGCGTACTGAAGGGAGGAGGGTAGAAATGGGTGTGGAGGAGAGAGAGAGAGAGAGAGAGAGAGAGAGAGAGAGAGAGAGAGAGAGAGAGAGAGAGAGAGAGAGAGAGGTTTGAATAATACAGAAGTGTGTGTGTGTGTGTGTGTGTGTGTGTGTGTTTGGCTCTGGGACAGCTTTTCTCTCCCAAACTGAATTTCCCTGAAGGTCATTTTAGTTGAGCAAACGAGTTTGTGTTGGCTAAACAGTCGTTTCCACCAAGCTGCTCAAGTTCAGCTCTCTTCTGTTGTTTTTTTTTTTGTTACATCATGAAAACACTTCATCCCCTCTGACAGGCATCATCTTCATATTGATTTATAATCACTTTATTTACCTTTATTAATGAAGTTTTATTCACTTATTTTGTTTTGATGTTGAGCTGGAGAATAGTTTTGGCTTCATGAACATCACATGCTCTGTAAATGTCTGGTTTATCTGTTGTAGATGTGAAATAATGAATCAATTAAAGCTGCAGCAGGGTACATTTATAAAAAATAACTTTCTGTCATATTTGCTGAAACTTTGTTGATGGTTGAGTCTCGTTCCCAGGTCATCAGATATTCACAGATTATCTGTCTCCTGTACGACTGTCACTTGGTTTTATTAATATTACAAAAACTTATTTTTCTAAAAGTTACCTACTGCAGCTTGAAGCAATTACTCATTTTTCATTTTTGAAGCTCGATCAATCGGTTTTACAATATTCAGGTTCCAGCTTCTAAAATCTGAGGATTTTCTGCTTTTCTCTGTTTTATCTGATTATAAATTAAATATATTTGGGTTTTGGAGGCAATTTGAAGACATCTGCCTTGGCCCTGGGAACAATCAATTAAGATAATTACATGTAGATTAATCAGTAATGAACTTAATCATTAGCTGCAGTCCAGGTCTTTAGATCAGGATCAATAAAACTAAATGACACTGACATCAGAGTCTGTATTTTAATCTCATCTTCCTCTGAGAGTCTAATGACTGCAGCCTTTGTGCTTTTATTCCTGCATCAGTTCTGCATCATTACTGCAGGAACAGCACACAGGATACAAATAAATTACAGCACTTCACCACAAAGGAAGCCCCGGGACCAACTGAACGCCACATATTGATGATACACCAGTAAAACCTGAACACGGGGGTTTCTTTTTAAAGCTGCTGTTGCACTTTTAGTGTAAAAAAAAATCCTCCCATGAGCCTCTAAATTATTTGTGTTGTCTGCAACAAGAACCATCTTTTTTCAGGTGATTAAAATCATTTAACATGTATATCTGTTATCATAGCTTTAATGTGGGGTATTTTTCAGCAAGTTAATTTGGGGAACTCGTGCAGTCAGCAGGTGATTTAACTGATGAGTAATTATCAGTGGGTTGAGTCGGTGGTTTGATTGGCTCTCTGTGGTTGGAAACACCTGCAGTGAATGATGTTGTTACTGACTGCAGTCTGGGAAGAGAGGCAGAGGATTTTCTTTAGTTGTGTTGCTCTGAATTGAGCCCATCATTTACAGCTGCATGCAGACAATATTTTGACAGGGATCAACTGTGAAGTCCCTCGGAGCAAAAACAGAAAAAACAAAGCAGATTTTGAAGGATAACTCTTGTGATATTCTATATTTGTCTTACTGTCAGTGCCTTAGAGCTCCATTGTTTTTCCAAAAACTGTTAAAAACACATCAGTGAGCCACACTGTGACATGTTCCTTCATTACCATGAACACACACACTGTAGTTATTTTGATTCAGTCCCACATACACTGTCCTGCTGCCCCAAATACCCCGTCCTGCTGCCCCAAATACCCCAAATACTCACCCGAGCACCAAATGTGGATTAATCCAGTAATAGTAGTAGTAGATTAATAGTCATAATATAATACATATTTAGTCCTGTTTGATAAAAACAGCAAAAAGGGGAAGGAAGCCAAAGTAATGAGAGAAAGAGTAACACTTTGATTTTGGTCTTTATGAACCATGTTGAGAATAATAATGAAACAGAATCCAGCCTTCTCCTTTAAGTACTCTGCAAAGTATTTCTTATACAGTAATCAGGTAGCTGAGAGCCACAGCTATCCTTTTGATCAGAGCAGGAACGTTTTAAGACTAAAACTGGTTCAAATCCAACATGAAAGCTTTTCAGTTGCACCTCTAATCTTAATCTTTCAGTTGGAACAGCAGCTCATGAAAAGCTCAATTTCTCTGCGAACACGTTGACTCTGTAAGCTACGGTTACATCAGAGAAGTCTAATGAATAAGGTCTTCATTTCACAGACTGTTGTTCAGTTTCAGTTCACACAGTCAAAAGGACCATTAAGCAGAGGAAAAGAAGCAGAATCTTCTGGCTGAATCGACACAGAACTGCAGTGAGAAAAGTGAAGAATGAGAACGAGAAAGGAAGATTTGCATAAGTGTGGAGCTTCTGACAGGGATAAAAGAAGAAAAGAAATGTCAGGAAGAATTGCTGATGCAAGTGTATTCTCTTAGACAACAGAACAATGTAGCCTTTGAAAGGAAAATGGAAGATTTTTAGCATTTAAAAGAAATACTGTTGTAGTTTAAAGTGGCATCCTGCTGGAAAATCCCCATTTTAACTAAATGTAACTTATCTGATTATGTCTTTTTTTCCTGTAACTTTGTATCCTGATTACGTAACTCAGTTACATGTAATCCATTACTCCCCAAGCTCATAAGTTAAGTATGTTAAGTTAAGTTGATGTGACTTGCGTATGTTAATTTAAAATAGTTCATCGAGATATTTGGTCTCACACAGGACTCGAACGGCGGCCTCCTGGCGTTCGCTCTTCATACTCCACCTTGAGTACTTTTTACTAGAGTATCCTCTAGTGGAACAGAGGGGTTGTTCTAGTACACACTTTGGTGTGAGACTGGGCTAATATTTGTTTCTATATGAAAGGTTGGATCATTTCACTTTGGTGAAAATCATATCTGAAATATGACGAGGCCCCAAATAGATTCTTAGTTCTTTGTAAGAAATCACAGGTTTAATCATCAACAGTTCATCGTATTTTAGAAACGTATCATGTTTTTATTAAATGTGAACTCTTAATGAAAGTAACTATCAAATAAAGAATAAAATATTTCCCTTTAAGCAGATACAGAAAGTAACAGTATACAAGTACAAATACCTCAAAACTGTACTTAGTTACTCCTGAAATCTTCACTCATCACAAACAGACAGTGTTGAATACACAAGAAGAGAAACACGCCGCTGTTTGATAGATAGCACACCGTTTTATTAGTATATTTAGCTTTGTGACGTACAGCTCGGGAGAAAAACAAAAAAACAGAACTAAATGGTCACAATTTTTTTTTTTTAAAGTCCAGAAACATTTCAGCCTTAGCAGTGACATCACACAAAAGAAAGCTCAGTTTTTCGATCATTGGTTTCTTTGTCATGGACCAGAGTGATATGTTCTCGTTGTTAGGCTAAACAAACACGCCCGTACCGCTCCAACGTAGTCAACAAACAGAAAAAAATAACCCTAGATTTCTTTTTTTTAACTTCTTTTTTTTTTCCTCGATCGTTTAAGTTGCTTCACATATATTATCAACACTTTTCTAAAGAATCAAAATATTTAGCCACATGTACTGGAAAAAAGGTATCCACTGTTATATATAATAATAAACACAATAAATATAAAAAGAATTTTGATATAATTTATATGGTATCAAAGAGAGGGAAATGGGCCTTCAGTTAGACGTGTTTTTACAAAAGTGATGTCCTTTTTTTTTTTTTTTCCTGAGGTTGAGTTTTGTCATCTGCAGTTTAAAGTTTTGCTAAATATACTAATAGACTAAGAGACCCGACACACAGGGTCTGTAATGGCTTATCATTCACTGAGGAATCATCTCCACCGGATCCTGGTCACACCAGCGGAGGGTCGTTGTGGCCCCACTGTGATTTTGTGTGCTGTGGAGTTAGCCGAGAGGTCAAAGGTCAGCCCCCCCACAGAGGCAGACAAACACACAGCTCGACTCCCCCCCCACCCTCCCCCCCACCCTCCCAAACAATCGGTATCGTCCGGGGACGCCTCGCTTTTCAATTTCAGCCGCACAGCGTTTCTTCACCAAGCGCAAAATGAACCGTTTTCCTCCACTCAACAAGGCTTTTGTAAAAGGATGCAGGGCTTAAAAACTAAAAATCTAAGCAGGTGTGTGGTGAAGAAAAGCGGCCGACTGAAATTCAAAATGTCAGCGTGTCCCCTCGCGTGTGATAGGCTTATGTGTGAAATGGTGATAATTGTATTTAGACGCAGTCCCATTTCCCTTCAGTGTGTAAGGAAGGAGTCAGATTAACTCAAAACAGGGATGATTGGGGGAAAAAAGAGAGAGGGGGAGAGATGAGAAGAAACGAAACAGAAAAAAACAAAACTAAAAAACAAAACCAGAAAGAATCGCAAAAATCTGTACATGTAAACATCACACTTCCACTGAGTTAAATCATGAGGAGAATACAGGTTTCACATTGGTATTACTGTAGGTACAAAGCCCCGGCGGAGGAAATCAAGACAATCAAGAGTCCGGTACAAAGTCGGGTGAAGACGGAAAGAGAGAAGAAAAGAATCAAATATCGCTAAAAATTAGAAAATGAAGGAATCTAAAGCACCACCAAAAAGGAACAGAAATAAAAAAACAATAAAACAAAACGGCTCAGAAAGCCATTTTTTGATTTTTTTTTTTGTAGCTGTACACCGTGCCCTGATAGAAAAATAAAAAGGTCCATTTCTTGTCTCCTTTAATTCTTTTTTTTTTTTTTAAATGTGTGTGTGTGTGTGTGTGTGTTGAGCTTTACATCTGACAGACTGGTTCAAGGAGTGTGTGATCATTTGAAGGGACCCGACCGGCATCGCAGCTCATCTGACGGTTTCAGTTCGAATCGAGAAGTTTCCCTGAAGCAGTTTCTGATGCTTCTGAAAGGATTTAACAACTCTACAGCATCTGAGTCCTTTGAGTCTGAAACGAAGCTACGACATATGTGACATGAAACATGATTGGTTCGTCTGCGAGCAGCGTGATGAATCATTTTGTGGATATTTAAGGAACAGTTTGACATCTGGACAAATACACTCATTTGACTTCTTGCTGAGAATTCGATGAGAAGATCAATACCACTCTCATGTTTGTTCAAATGTAGTTGCAGCCAGCAGGTGATTAGCTTAGCTTAGCTTAAAGACTGGAAATAGATGGAAACAACTATCAAAATACACCAACCTGCACTTCTAAAACTCACCAATTAACAGGTTATATCTTGTTCAATTAATGCGTACAAAACCTTTTTATGGGAGCTATAGCTTTTATGTGCCGGACTATTTGTTGGCCAGGAGCAGTGATTTCCCGCCATTGGTTGCCTGACAACTGCAAGAAATAGTTGGCATCTAAAATCCCCGTAAAAAACCAACATATTCTTACAATTGTTTTGTTTTTGGACGTACTAAACAAACAACAAACATTGTAAACTTTAGAGATTTTGTTACCTTTGGACGGAGCCAGGCTAGCTGTTTCCCCCGGTTTCCAGTCTTTATGCTAAGCTATGCTAAACTAACTGGCTGCTGGCTCTGACTTCATATTTAACATAAAAAGACACAAAAGTTGTATCAATCTTCTAATCTAAAGTGTATTTCCCAAAGTGTCAACCCTGTCACTGACATGAGGAGGTTCTTAAAATGCACACTAAAGTCTGATTCGGAATTTCTTTAGTTAAATTAAATTTTAATAAATAAAATCAAGGAATTACATTTCGCCTGAATTATATTCCAAGAATGGAAGAATTTTAATAAAATAATTAAATTAATAAATATAATGTGAACAAATTTTCACATATTTTTTACAGTCTAGTCAACATTTCTCAGGGGGGTGGGGAGTTGGTGTTGGGGGAAGTTGGACTCCTGACCTCAGTTACAACCCTGCGCACAGTAGTTTGTGATTGATGTTATTCTCTTTCAACAGATTGGCTTCTGAGAACTGGTGATTTTGCCTTATGGAGATCATTTTGACTAAAGACATCTAAACATCTAAGGCCAGTTTTTAGGACTTCAACCTGCACAAGCTCCACAGCCGACAAGCTGCAGGTTTTTACACAAGCTTTGTATCACAGCAGATAAGGTAGTCAGACCTTTTTTAACAATTTGGACCTTTGATTTAGCACTGTAGTCAGAAAGGTTACATCTGCTCTGTTCTCAGCTGCTCAGCTGGAAAACCCCGTCAGTACCTCTGAAGTCTGACAGAAAGACACAGCTCTTCTACAAGCCTCAAAACATTTAATGCTTTTTACAGGGAGATCAATGCCGGATCATGACCTTACAACAACTCTATGATGTGTAAACATAACCTTTAAAAGAAAAAGGAGGCTTCATTTCAAGAGGAAAACACACGTCTTGTGCATGAACCACGAGGGCGGACTCTTACTGAGGACAGTAAAGGTCAACATGTAGCTTGTCTCTCGATCTTCTTACTGATTTTAACATCTGATAGCGGTTAAACCCTGCTGAACGAGTTGTGTCGTGATGCCGATCGGGTCCCGGTTGTTGGTTGACATCCATGTTTGGAATGTGCAGTATAGGCATACAGAGTGAAGCTGTTGGAATATTGTACAAAATATCTTTTCCAAAAAAGACCACTTTACTTGCACTACAAAATATATCTATAAAATAATATTAAGAAGAATCAGAACATTGATAATAATAATGTAATACTAAAAAATAGAAATCAGATAGAAATGTGTCGGCTGTTTGCTCAGCCAGTGGAGACGTTAATAACAAGAGGAGGAGGAGGAGGAAGAGGAGGAGTAGTTTTGGAGTACGAACGCTCTGATTACGGCTGAAACACTCAGATTCTGTCTGTCCCACTGTATATTACAGACAGAAGGAATGGAAATCAAACAGTGAGCAAATTACACCTTTCTAAAGATTGTCATTTGCCTATTTTTTTTCTTTTATACAGCTGTTGGTGTTTTTAGTTCTTTGTGGTGCTGTTCTGCAGCTGTCTGGCTTTGAAGTAAACTGACCTGGGCTCAAAAACACGTGTATAAAAACTCAAGAACGTCTTTTTGAGGTTGACAGAGACACTGTGGAACCAATGAGAAAGTCCAGAAAGTCCCAAATGCCACCTTACCTGGCTCTTCTGGCAGACTACTTGATTATCACTTCAAATACTCTAAAGTCAGTGAAGCAGTGTTTGCTAAAGCCTGACCAAAGAACTAAACTCGGGCACTTTGTTTCCTTTTGTACCTTCAGGACGATCTCAGCGGTTCAGTTTGTGTTTGCGAAGATGACTTATTCCTACAACAAAAAAAAAAACTCCCAGATGCCATTTAAAAGAAGCGGTTTGTCCTGGAGGAGTTTTTAGCTGAGAATATCAAGAATCAAAGTCAGAGGAGGAGGAGGAGGAGGAGGAGGAGGGAGGAAGAGAGGGATGAACTGCAGTAAGAGCCTCTTCACCATTTACACAGCATCTTAAGCTGCTCAACATTTTCATGCCAGGGGGAACCAAAAGTGAATAAAACTAAACTTTTTTCCCACTGATCCAACCTCATCAGAACAAGTGTGAGAAAAATACAACAGCTTTTAGGCTCCGAGCTGAAGTTCGCTCTCTCGACTCTCCAACAAAGACTGTAGGGGTTCAGTTAGGTGAAATGTTGGTGTTGCATTAAAATCTCAACTCCAACTGTGGCACTATTCCTTTCTTTTTGATTTTATCTTTCAATACAGATAATAAATCCACATTTAACCATTTCACACCCATTACACACTGTGATCTGAAACAGTGTGGTTGCTGATGGATTTCCTTCGTTTCTTAAAAAACACATTTTGGGAGGTTCAAGGTTTTCAGAACGTTTGACAGTTAGAGGTAAAATGAACATCTACCCCATCTGCTCAGTTGAGACTGAATCCGTCTGAGTCGGGATGGAAATTCTTCCTGAAATTGAAAACTGCTCGATCCCGCTTTGATCTGAGGGAACAGGTCCAACAGACACAGCTCACACAGGTTCCTCTACTGCCAGACATAAGTTGTTAAAATTAGATCTTTTTCCTTGTAAAATTACAAGTGTTCAATGTTTCTCAACCCACCACACTTATTTCCTGTTTGGCAAACTCTTGGACACATTACTGCCTTCTAAAACTGTTTTTACGGTGAGTTTCCGTGCAGCTGCGATGAGCAGGAAAACATAAATCATATCTGATAGGAGGACAAAACAAAACATCAGAATGATACACCGATGTGTTCCCATTAACTGGCTGGTTGCTGTATGTGACTCAGGTCCCTCAGTCAGAGCAGAGTGTGGATCAACCAAACAGAAAAATCCCTAAACAGTTCTTTCATAGATCGACTGAGTACGTCTGGACCAATCCAGGTGTCCCAAAAGGTGCCGAACCTCCCCCGACACTGAAAACCTGCCCGGTGTGTAGTGTCGACTCAACCAAAGCATTGGCAGTATCTGAGAGCACAGTGAGGATCAAACAGGAGGACAGAAGGACGGGATGCTGGTGTCTGGTGTCTCATGTTGGGATTTACGAAGGGCGTTGTGAATGTGCCCTCCAATATTTAATCCGATAAAGACGCTAAAATTAGAGAGGAAATAGAGGAAAAATTGATTGTACCTCAGTGGGTCTCACAAGATTTAATAACATTTGTGAGATTTTCCCCTTTTTCAAATCAAATTTTCTTAAGTTTTAGAAAAATACCAAACTAAAATCGAACACCACAACCACTCTTCTTAAACATGACTTCAGCTCTAAGATGAAGGTTGTACGGCAACATGTCTGACTCTTCGACATCATCCTCCCCTCCTTCTCTCCTCCTTCTCTTCTAGTTGGGTCGTCTTTTTGCATATATCTCTTGTGTCATTCAGTGATGATTACACTTTAAACAGAGCTTCCCGTTTTTTGTGAAAAATAACAAAACAAAAGAAAAAACGTTTACAACTCTACATCTAATCTTCCATAAATTAAATAATTTACATTTTTCAACATTTCAAAACAATTTGAACTCAATGTGCTGGTTCTGACATTGCACATGAATGTGAATCCATCAGAGTTTGGATGGAGGTTTTTAACGGATACGACCTCCTGAACGAATGGCTTTTCACATGTTCCTCTGCTCTGTAGCCCGACAGCTCGCCATCCAGCGCTTATGATCCAGATTTAACTGTCTGACTGTCACTGCGGGCAGCCCGTCACCAACAAAAAAACCATCTAAAAGACCAGTGGATGCTATGATTATCAACTGCATTGCAAAAAAAAACACCACACCTCTACCTCCGCTCACGTCTCACTTCAGCAGTGCAAGCTGGGGGAAACATGCATACCCACACAGAGAGCCCCCCCCCACCCCCCACCCACCTTCAAATCACAGATGACTTGTTTCGCTCAGTGTGCAAAAAGGGAGCAAATCACGGTGACACGACAGTCGAACTGAGTAGGAACTACAGTAGAAGCACGGTACACAGAGCAATGTCTCGGGAGGATACAATAAGTCACGTTTTGTTCATTTTCAAACCTCTTCTGTGCTGCAGGTTGCTGAGTGAAACCAGGAGCATGTGGGTGCGTCATGTGGTTCAAAACGCTTTTTCATACAAAATGTGTCTTTTTTTTTTTTTTAGCAACTGTACCAAGAGACAAAACTACATAGTGGTGATAAAAAAATGGAGTTGCTTCTTGCCAATGTTACAACTCCCTAAAAGTAACAGAGTGACATTTTGAGAAATGAGAAGATTGATACGACTCTCATGTCTCAGGTCGTCCAATGAGTCGGAATATTTCTCTGCCAGGAGCGTTAACTTCCTGGAGTCTCCAGAGACAGGTGGATATTTATTACCTGTGAGTAGAGCCAGGCTAGCTGTCCCTGTTTCCTGTTTCCAGCTAAGCTAACCGGCTGCTAGTTCCAGCTTTCTATTTAACATGAGAGTGGCATTAATCTTCTCATCTAACTCGCAGAAAATAACAGGCCAATTTTGCAAAATGTCAAACTTTTTCTTTAACAAAGAGGGCTTGACTCTGGACGCGAGGCTGCAGGAGCAATCAGGTATTCTAATAAATATATTTTTTTTTACTTGCTGGGCAAGACAACAAAAACTACCTTCATATGGCATAATGTCAACATGGCTGAAAGCAAAAGATGAAGGATTTACTTTCTCTTTTAAAGTTATCTGCAGGAATTGAGTGCCATCTCACTTCTTTCCTTCTGGATTAACCAAAAAATAAATCGGCATTCTACACTGAACCACACTTGAGCGTGTACTTGTGGGGCCCAACACAGAGTGCCATGGTGAAGATGCACTGTCCCTCCCTGCGCCCTCCAGAGGATGAAAACATGAGAAGAAATTGAAACGAGGTTTAAAGAATTCACAGTTAGAAAGTCACAAAACACAACATGAATCGAGCCCTATGAAGCAAAAACAAAGACACCAACCAACCAGTCAGAGAGAGAAGAGATGCGAGAGGATGAAGATAGTTCTCCCGTCAGTCTTTGTGTTGTTTTTGCTTTGTTGTGGTCGAGTTGCAGTTGAGGTCGCAGGAGGTTGGTCGGTTGGTCGGGTTTTCACGGGGCACTGCGGCTAGCTAACGCCCGGCTTTGTTGAGGTTTCAGGTCTATGGCAGAAGGTCCGGTTTTTATATAGCAGCAGCAACATGAAAGTTCATCATTATAATCATACTAATAATAATAATAATAATAACAATAATAACAATAGTAATGGCCATCTCAGAGTTTAACAGACAAAACACAGTAAGACAGAGCAGGCCTCCTTTTCCTCTAAAACCTGGACCGGACCAGGGAGGGGAGGAGGAAGAGGAGGGTGTTTAGGTCCATGAAGAAGAGGTGAAGAGTACAGTAGGTCCAATGGAGAGAAGAAGAGGATAAGAGAAGGAGGAAGGAGGGGGGGGGGGAAACAGAACAATGCTGAGGTTTCGTTGGCGTTACATCTACATTTGTAAAAAGTAGAAGCGGGAGGTAAAATTGCCACCAGTTATCAACATTTAAACCCCCTTTCTTTTAAGAAAGCCCCTCCCCTCCGCACGCGCACACACACACACACACACACACACACACACACACACACACACACACACACACACACACACACACACACACACACACACACACACAACCCCTCCCTCCCCTCTGAAACACACTCTGATTCTTCTCAAGTTTTTCAAGATGAACTGATTATATACAGCAGCACACGAATGAACCCGCACAGATGAAAGAAAAGTTTCAGTTCTTGAAATGCTTCATCGTTCTCAACATTACATAGTTTGATTCTCCCCCCAAACAATTATATAAACCTTGAAGACATCAGGTGGTAAAGTAGAAGTAAACTGGCTTCTGGTGGGAGTGTCACCATTTACTTGCAGAGTGTGTGTGTGTGTGTGTGTGTGTGTGTGTGTGTGTGTGTGTGTGTATGTGTGTGTGTGTGTACGTACGTATGTGTGTATGTGTGTGTGTGTGAGGAACTGAAAATTTAATTGGCAGGTCTGATCTGAGGTATTTTCTGGTGGTCAACATGGCGTTTTGGATGCATAAGTAGCAGGTTGCTCCCTGGGTAAAAGGGGTGAGGAGGATGGGGGGGGGGTTCAGGGTGAGGTTTCAGGTGAGGGAAAAGTGCTATAGGACACAGAGAGCTTATATACAAGCGAGCACAAAAAAGTTTCTCTCCTTTTTTTTTTTTTTTTAAACCAAACAACTCCTTTTTTTTCTTTTTTCTTTTCCAGTTTCCATCCTTAAGCCCCTCCCAAAGTCTTTTCCGTGTTTAGTGCTATCTTTTAAGATAAGTCAAACCGCCTCTCTTTCTTTCAGTCACTTGGGAAAACACAAACACAAAATAACGAAACAAAAAAATGCTCACTGGACTCCCCCAAAAAAAGAACAAATTAAATCTTCAATCACATCAAAAGCACTTGTCATTTAACAAACAGCTTCAGTAGTACTAATTCAGGGAGTCGTTACTTAATATCTTTTAAACTGTTATATCAGAAGACGGCGCACCCGTCAATCAAAACTCCCCGTGTTGGAGCTCCTCAGGGAAACTCAAAAACTTCACTTTTCCACCCACAATGAGGCCAAGTTTGTTTTTCTGAAACCACAGCAGCAGAATCAACAACCTTGCAGTCTTCTTCCAGGCTACTCCTCCTCCTCCTCTCTTCCTCTCCTCCACACTCCTTCGCTCAGAGTGTAGTGCTGATTGTGAGGTGCTTCCAGAGAGGAGAGGAAGAGATTCCTCCAGAGTCCAAATGCTCTGCTCCTTCTTTCAAATTTTTTTTTTCTTTCATGGATTGAGGTTGTGGGGGAATTGTTTTGGGGGACGGTGGGGTGGGATTGGTCTCCCTCCCTCCCTCTGCCCCACTTTACCACTTTTTCTCCAAAAATAAAAAGTGGCCACAGTTTCCGAAGAGAAGGCAGATGAGGAGAAACCGACAAACGCAGATTTAAGGAGGGGAGAGCAAAAACAAGAGGACGTCTGGTATTCAGCGTCGGTAAGGAGAGACACAGACGGACACAAAACATAATAAGAAGTGTGTGTGTTTGAGTGTGTGTATGTCTGTGTGTGTGTGTTCTCCCACATCTCCCCCAGATCAGTTCTGCTGCAGGATGAGGTTCTCCAGCTCGTCTGCTGAGCGAAGAAGGAAAGCGGCCGACTCCCGGTAGCCGGCGATCAGCTGACGAACGGCCGTGATCTCTGGTTGGCTGAGCTGTGTTGACGCCCCGCCCCCTCCTGCGCCCCCGCTGCCCCGCCCACCCAGGCTGTTGTTGGTGGAGGCAGAGGAGGTGGAGTTACTGATGTTGGCAGAGGAGAGAGATTTCATGCTGAGGTCTGTGGGACCTGAAGATGGGCGGAGAGGAGGGAGGAGCAGTGACGAGAGAGGGGGAATGATGAAGAAAAGAAAGGAGGGATGAGAGGGAGATTTGATGGGAAATAAAAGGATGCATAGATAAAAGTTGAAAGGAAGAGAGGAGGTGAGAGAGAAAACGATCAGTCAGTTCAAAATGATAGAACACTGTCAGAATATCATCATCAACATTTCCTGATGTAGAATCGTAATGTCTTCTCCACTTTGTACATTAAACTTTGTATTTGTGTAACATTTTATCATCTGTGGTTACAAATAAACCTCATCCAGTTCCCACATAACAAGAACAATAGAGCTCGAAAGATTCATCGAGCAGATTAAGAGTTTTTGCTAAACAAACTGGATTTATAGTTTTGTGTTAAAGGAGTTATGGCATAGCTTTGGAGCCTGTGGACGTAGCTGCTGCAGCTGCCGGGGTGCCTGCAAAGAAATACAACTACAGGGACACCACATGGAGACCACGAGTACTGTGATTGGCCAGCATGGACTGCTTGTGTGTTTCCTTCTACACGTTTTTGATGTCGATAAAGAGTTGAAGGTGAAAGACAGCATTAGGGCCTCAAACATCCACGCAAGCTTAGAGCTACACGAGATCTCACTGAGCACTGCAGCTAGTTTCGGTGGCTTAATGTTACCAAATGAATTAAACACACGTCAGGCATTGTGGTGGTACTATCAGTGGCAAAAGATTTAGATTTACAGGGAATCAGATAATGAACATTTATTAAACCTCGATTTGTCCTGGGTAATATGATGGACACAGAGCCACTAAAGAGACAAATGTCCATCAGTTGAAGTTTTTAGAGTTTGAACAGTGTGTAATCTCCAACTGTGTTTATTTAAATGACTTTGAATCTACAATTCCGTATTTAAGCTCACATCTGCTGCTCTGTCTCCTTTCACCACTCTCTTTTCTTCTGCTGCTCCTTCCCCATCTCCTCCTCATTCATCCCCAAATTACCCGCTCGCCTTCTTTCCTTTCATAATCACATCTTTTCCTCTCTCATCCCATCCCTCATTTTCTCTCACCCTCCTCCCGCCTGCTTCCTCTTTTATTCACTCTTTCCCTCTCATTATTTTGTGTTGTCCGTCTCCTCTCTGTCTCCATTAAGAGCCTCTTCCTCTGTCCCCCCACTGGTCTCCCATCTTCACCGTTGCTCTGTGCAGCAGCGCTGGTCGTCAGGGAAACGGGGTGTTGCATGGCAGCGCTCAGGCCCGGGTATCCACGGTAACCGTAGCTGAGTCCGGCTCCGTTGATGTAGAGCTGGGTGTCCTGGGAGGAGAAGGCTGATGCGGCCAGGGAGTAGGCGGAGTGAGCAAGGGACGCCGGCTCCCGCAGACCTCCTCCACCGCTGGACGGCTTGTCCATAGAGATCTGCTCATCCTGGAAGAGGAAACAGGAAATGAGAGGTTTTCTTTTCATAATACTATAAAAGAAAGCTAGACTGGACGAGTGGAAAAACCATACTCATAATGTCACAAGCCCACTTTTATGTAAATTATTAGGATTGGATGCTTAATTCATCATTGTATGATGTTTTTAGAACGGTAGACAAACTGTGAACCAGTCTTTTCAAGCTTGTTTTGCATAAGAAAGGTAATCTTGTTTAGATTTAACCAGGAACCAGTTACAAGGATGATTTGGATAATATCACAGCAGAGGAACAAGATTATTTTCCTTATTTTAAGAGTAAAACCACTCGCAAAACTTCTAAATTGAAAAGAGTCTTGTCCTAGTGTTGTAAATGAAGAAGCAGTTTAGTTAAAAAAATTAAAATTAAAAATTCACAAAATAAGAATGCTTCTGGGGCCTTTATTTAAGACAAAAATCACTAAGTTGTATTATTCTGTTTGAAGAAATAGACCAAAATTATTTTAGTATCTATTTTAACATTAACACACAGTCTTGTCGTGATGATACTGAATATGCCTGGAACTATGTGACACAGGGCAGCCTGCTGAGCTTTTATGTCCATTATTTAGTGAAATCTAAAACAGCTAGTGATGCTATTTTATTTTCACACCTGAATTACACACACACAAACACACTTACGTGATAGGCTTCAAGGCGCATCCTCTTTGCGGCGTTGCGTGATTCGTTCTCGCAGGCGGCAGCCAGGATGTTCTCAGCCATGGCTGAGGTGAGGTGAGGTGGAGTAGGACGGGTCTGCACACAACAGAATGACATCAGGGAATCGAATTATTGAGAGAATTAGAGAGACAGGTGATTTCAATGTACACCAATCAGCCACAAGATTATGAGCACCTGGGCACCCTGGGCACCCTGCTAATGTTCTGCAGCCCCAGACCAACAAACTCTAACCATCACAATGTGGTCCTTGTCAAAGTCGCTCAAATCCTCACGCTGCCCATTTTTACCCGCTTCTAACACTTCAACTCTGAGGACAAAATGTTCACTTGCTGCTTGATATATAATATATATATAATATATTTTATACAGTATATTTTTTAAACCTGGGCCCTATTTATTTTACATATTTGGAGGTCTAAATAAGTTTTTAGGTACAACAGGATTTGGAATTGGCCCAGTAGATTAACTGGAAGACAATCCAGGCACTGAAAAATATAAGAAAAAATAATAACAATGAGGAAGGAAATATTAAAAAGCTTTTATTACAGTAGCAAAGTCTTCTGAAATTATGATTTCTGTTAATCTTCATTGATTCTGTGTAATTTGGAGGTGATAAAACAGCTAATGATTTCTTCTATTTTTAACATTCATGATGGACAAATACTCTTCAGGCACATTGGGCCTTTTGTGCCAGAACCACAGTGAAGAACACCTTCACAATGACTACTGTACTGTGTGTGTGTGTAGCATCATGCTTCACCACTGGGGGGCAGCAGAGACATTTCAATCATCTTCACATTCAGCGTGAAGCAGCCTCTTGCCCGTCGGGACTCAACATAACTAATGCTCCCATCATACATCTCTCCTGCGTTAGTACAGTAACATTCAGCCACCCTGCCTCTGCTCTGTATCAGCGCTGCAGCTGAAACTGCACACTCAACTAATACAGCCAGTTTATTATTTATGGGAGACTAGGCTTCGTTCTCACAAATCTTATAACTTGAGACTGGACTTCAGTCACAGTTACACTATAAAATAGCTTATCCAGCACGACTCTTTGGAACATTTAGTTTATTGCTACAAGAAGAAGAGGAGGCAGTGACGAACTCTGACCTCTACATGAAGTATTTGTATTCATATTTATATACACATCATGTCACTGAGGAGCGAACACTGCCCAGTTGAGCAATTTCAACCCTGCTGACAGCGAGTGTCTTCATTTGATTATTTTTTAATTACTAGTAAAGATTGCAGTGTATTAATTATCTGTGTCGCTGCACACACCCTGCTGGCTCCTGCTGATGTCGTGCTATCAAATGTGAAACATATTAGCAGAACACGTCCGTCACTTTGAGTCAGTTTGTCACTATTTTATTTTATTTTTAGAAGAAAAACTACTCCGTTAATCATCTTGAGGAAATCCAATTTGATATGAGTCTGATCTGAAACCAAATAGATGCACATGCAGAAATGCTGCATAGTAGTCTTTATTAGATCTTAAATTATGATATTCTGCACCTCGTCACACCTGTAAACTGAGACAAATTGACCAGAGCGTGTCGTTTCTATAGTTACAACCCATTTACAGCCACATCTTTTCACAAAAGATGATAATTGTTTGTTGCCTGTCGCCTGAGCTTGAATAGCATAGAAAAGCCAAATATACCACATTATAAATATATAATTATGTTATATTATTGTTATTTTTTGCTTTCAGAAACACTCAGGAAGGGCAAAGCAAGGCTAAATATGTTACTGTAATAAAATAAATATTTAGAACCTTTTATTCTGCATCTGTGTCTGAACAAAATGTAGACACAATGATGATTTCTGGAGAATAATATTAGGCTTGTTTGTGTGTCAAACATCTTACTACTGAGATACGAAATCTTTTATAGTATAAATGTACACAGTAAAAAAAACAGCAGCTAATGCCAAACTGATGAAATTCGGATAGAACAACAAACAAAAGCTTTGAGAGAATAATTGTTTTTTTATACACTAATGCATGTCGGCCTTAGAGGATCACACACATAAACGTACCATATGTTCCTAAACAATCCTGAGATTGTGTGTTTGTGTTTCAACTCGTTTTTACAGGAAAATCTGAAACAGAATATCTTTAAAAATCATCTAAGTTCCCTGTGATCTGTGTATTCTCTCTGTTCTGTCTGCATTTGCTTCTGTGTGAAGTCCACAGGAACTTTCTAAAAGTTCCCCAGAGTGTCTGTCCCTTTTCCTTTGTTTCCGTTGAGGCACTTAAGCATGTAGAAACAACAATAGAGAACATTTTACTGACTAAAGCACATGCTAACTGAAACATGCACAGACCATCAGGAAAACCAGAGCGGATATCTACTAGCTCTCGGGTTCCTGCAGGAGTTGACTGGAGCCAGCATCAACCAGACTCCCTAACTCAAACAACCACCCCTGTTGCACCGTACAATAAAACATTAAAAATCATTGGCTGGACCAGATTATTGGTCATAACTGAAAAATCAAGAATAGAATTTGCTCCTGTGTAGCGTCTGAGGGTGAAAAAGTTCATTTCTTTGCAGAACATTTTTCAAGATGACTGACACGGATAATATAACTGCTAAAATGTCTGCAGGTTGAAAAGGGGGAATTATATGTCTGCCAGCCTAAAAGCCTTCTGAGAGCAGGTCTCAGGTCTGTGTCACATCATCAAACCAATTTTTCCAAACTGCCTATAATGCTGCATTCAAGTCATGTCAGAAAAACCCCCCATAAAAACCGGATCAGAAGTCACTACTGACACTTAATTTTAGTGAATTAAATTTGTTGACTGTTTAACGAGCCAACGCATACAAATACTGACGCTTTTATTCTCTCTTATATGTCTTAATTAAATATTAATATATATGTGTCTATATATCTGCCCATATTTTGAGAAATGATTAATCGTTGCAGCTTCTCCAAGGTGACGATTTGTTTATTTTCTCGGTTTTATTTAAACCAAATCTGTTCGGGTTTTGGACTGCGAGACATTTCTGGGAACTTATTATGTTATATTCTGACATTTCATGGAAAAGCGATTAATCAAGGACAATCAGCAGAATAACTGGGGAACCGTACCTCCATGCCGTTCTTCTTCATACGTCGGCAGGATTTGAGGTAGGTGCGAATGCGCTTGCGGGCGCGTTCCTGGAATTCTGGGAACTGTCTGCTGCAGGATTCGATGATGGCCTGGATCTTCTCCTTGGGCTGTTTGGAGATGGGAACCATTCGATCCAAGTTCTCGTCCACAAACAGACGCACAAACATCTGCAGGAAAAGAAGACAGCTGTCTGAGAAAAGTGGTTTTGTTTGGTAAAGTGGAGGTTTTTATGATCTCGGCTGCATATACCATGCTTCTGTAGGTTGTCTTCTTAAGTGTGTGTACACATCACTGACAAATTAAAGGGTAATTCTGGTATTTTTTTAAATGTAAGAAAAGAATAATAACAATAAGAAACATTATAAAGCCTTTATTAAAGTAGCTAAATCATTAATAAAGCCAACATAGTTCGCCCCCTGTAGGTCTTTAAACAGACAACACAGGTGTGGCCTTTGCTGCCTGTCATCTTCTCTCTCTTTCCCTTTCCTGTCTATCTTCAGCTGTCAAATAAACCAAACCGAATATATATATATATATAAAAACAAAACAAAAAAAACCCCAAAAGGTCTATCTCTGTAGGGATCCTTCCCATAATGTGGTCAGACACAATCAGAGCCCGTCAGTGTTAAAATCAAGCACTTTCAGAGGATGTACTTTGACGAGGGCGGGATTACGCTGCAGCCATTGCAGCCGGTTTCACAGCTGCCAGCTGAGGCGATCTACTCGACCAATTCCAAAACATTTGTACCCATTTAGCCCCCAGAATATGTAAAAATAGGGCCCATGGTTAAAAATAGCGGAATGACCCCTTAAAGTCTTAAAAAAACTAGCAAACAGTTGCTTATTTACACATCCACAGAGACATTATCATTCATTTGGAGTCATGTTTCTGCCCCACTGAAGAATTTAAGTCCAGTATTCACTCTCATTTTAGCTCTTTAGAGGTTTGGCCTCTTAAGAAAATATCTGACTCTGCAGCTGCTTGACTGCGTCTGTCTGTGTGTTCCTCATGTGTATTTTCAGGGTCTTTGGTAGTTTCTTGCCTTTGCCATCATGTGAGTGTGTGATCAATGCCACTGAAGGGAGATCAGACAGTCAGCTCTTTAATATTTTTTCTTTATGAATATAAGGAGACACCTTATTGATCCCAGCGGGGACATCGTGTTAGACAGAGCTGAAGGTCTGATCCAACAGGCCGTCTCTGACTTACGTTGAAGGCCTTTAGTCTCTCGGGATCGACTCCCTCTGTGTCGTTGATCTTGTCGTTGTCGTCGTGGTCGTCATGGTCGTCGTCGTCATCGTCGGGGGCAACCTGGCTGCCATGACGCCCCATGGTCAGGTCCTCGGCACTCAAGTCCATTTTCACGCTGTCGTAGCTGCCACCTGAACTGTACTGGGGGGACTGAACACACACACACACACACACACACATACTGCAGTGTTACTGTATTCTGTGAGTGTCTTAATTACATTTATACATCTATGCACTGGGTTTTATCATTTATGGGCTTAAACGTTCATTGTTACAGTGGATTTCCTTCATAAAACACTTATTAAGAGACTCATTAGGACGTGACAGTCAATGAAAAGGTCCTTAAAAACAAAGATTTAGGTCTTTGGTGGAGACAATCGACAGACTTTATGGAGGCAGATATAAGCCCGCAAAAAATAAAAGTAACTCTAGTATATTTAATATTTCTGCGAACACTCCACAAGACATTTAATCAAATTCTCTGGTTCCAACTTCAATCAGAGGACTTTCTGCTTTTATCTGCATTATATCGTTGGACATTTCATATCTTTGTGTTTGTGACTGTTGGTCAGACAAAAGACATTAGACGACATCCTCTTGGACTCTGGGAGACTGGGATGGACATTTTTTACTATTTTCTGCTGTTCCACGTGGTAAATGTATAATTAAAGATATAAGATTAGTTCAATAATGAAAGACAGATTAATCAATAGTGAAAATAATCATTAGCTGCAGCCTTTACACTAATCAGCTGTCAAGAGGCGTAATACCTGTATGGACTACAAAACATACAAGATGCTTTGACAGAATAAGAGTTGATTAAACATCTCTGATGGACATTCAGACCAGAGATGGAAGTCAGTCAATCTGACAGGTGAAAGGAGCACACAGAATGCAGGCAGGAATAAAAAGGACTGTGTGAGGATTGTATGTAGCTGGGTGTGTGTGTCTGTGTGTTTGGATCCTTCAGGTAGACTGTCTGGCGGTAATGCATTTCCTCCGAGGTCGCTGTGTATTGTGTATCAGGTTCTGCTATTCATCTGCGTACAAAGACAGCGAGAGAAGGAAGGAAGGAGAGTCAGCCTTCACCTCCTTTCTTCATTCTCTCCTCACTTTTACTTCAATCTTTTTATTTTCCAATTCCATTTGCTGACTCCTCTTTACAAATGAGAATAAATAAGACGACGTGGATGTGGCAATTAACTAAATCAAATGAGGATTTCATGTTTACTCTCAAATTATTTCAGTATGAATAAATGGAAGCTTCTGAAAGAGCAGTAAGGGGAGAAAGCAGAGCAGAAGCTGTACTAACTTTGTTAGCAACTGTCATAGAAAATCTGTTATTTTTTATACTTTTATATTCAGCTGACGTTTCTTTACAAAACATTTTATTTTCTTACTTAATAGTTTATCAGTGGGTGGAAATGAACAAACGTATATTGGTGTTATTCTCAAATGGTTTCAGTCCTTATCAGGTAGACATTTTTTTATCTAAATAAATTGGTTTGTTTTGTTAGTTACGGTAGCCTGGATGCTAAAGTTTAACTGTTTGCAATAACTTAACAATCAGATGATTTCTTAGCACTGTTGTCTCGAAGCATTAAGTTGGACATGAACTTGGAGCTTTTCTGTTTGAAATTTGCTTGTTTTTCTCAAGTCAGTGCTGCTTTTCTCTGATAGCCTAAAGACATGCAGGTTAGGTGAAACAGAGACTCAGTTGTCTGTAGGAGTGACTGTTTTTATATTTATACTGTATGTGATTGACATCAGTGGTGATGATGATAAATGGATGGATACAAATCTACCAAACAACCTAAATTAGGTGAAACTTTGAGTGGAACTCTTTCCTTACTAAATCTGTGTGTGTGTGTGTGTGTGTGTGTGTGTGTGTGTGTGTGTGTGTGTGTGTTTGCGTGTGTGCGCGCCGTGTGGTCTCACCTTGCCCCCATAGTCCCTGCCGTCTCGGTCCAGTCGCAGCTCTGCAGCATGGGACTGGGAGTGTGTGTTGGGAGTGTGTGCATTATGTGTGTGATGGCTGTGTGTGTGTGGCAGCGGCAGGGCCGGGTGTGGAGCCAGGGGAGGTTTGGCAGCCAGAGGGTACTTCCTGCGGAGCTCCTCGGGCGCGTTGGGATGCAGGGCGCCGAGCAGCGCGGCAGCTGCTGCCGACACGGTGACAGGCAGGTGCGAGGTGGACAGAGGCAGGCGCTGAGGGGGTGGGTCAGTCAGGTTCATCGGCTGCTGGTCCTCGGATGATGATGAGGAGGAAGTGGGCGTGCTGAAGTCCAGTGGGGCGGGGCCGCCGTTGCCATTGACGACCTCGGTTTCCCTGACTATGGCGCCGTCCGTTACCGCGGAGGAGGGCGGGGTCAGGGCAGGCAGGCCATTTCCACTGCCGCTCTCTGATGATGAGTCCTCTGAAAGGAGAGACGGAGAGAGAGAGAGAGAGAGGTTGAATTTCACAGATTGAAAAACACATTTCTCTGTTTCTGTAAACTGGTTCGAGCAGCAGATGAACACAGAGCTGAAGTGTTGTGCTTCGTGGGATGTGATAGGAGAACGGAGGGCACGCTGTCATGAAACATGTACAAACTGCAGCTCATATTCATTACGTGTGGACAAAGACATACAACTGTCAGTGTGCTGCACTGCATAATGAGCGGCAGGTCTGTGTGTCAGTATCTGTTTGATCCAAGGCCTTTTTTATTCCAAGGCCTGCATTCACACAAAATCTAGAAGAACGGCACTTTCCTGCAAGGTTGTGTGGAGGTGTGTGTGTTGGTGTATTTGTGCTGTAGAAAGGAAAATAACAAAAAAAAAAGGTTTGAGTTCATGGACTCAATTTGAGTTTGTGCAAGGTGCTCTCTGGATAAGGATACATGCGGACACAAACATCATAAGAAAACTCCAAGGCACGCTCTTTGAAACAATTAAACCATGACCATGCGGTGATAATGAAGGCATTTGGATTGTTTAAAAGAGAGTGCCTTAAAGTTTTATTTCTCTGGTTCACTGCTTTGTTCTCGCTAACGTTACTCACTCTCCTCATTCATTCTCTATGTAGTTTAACCAAAGCTGCTCTCTCTGGCTCACTTGAACCGAGGAGAGGGGTCAACTTTCAAATCCTCCAGTATGATTTTAAGCTTTTTTGGTGATTTCAAAGCTTTTACTTCTTGGGTGATAAACCTATTTCTTCTTTTTTGTCATGTCTTACTTGTAATTTCAGTTTTGCAAAGTGCTTTATAAAACAAAGTGTGCATGCTAATGAGAGGTTAAGACCTATCCTCAGTGTTTTTTCCTCCTGGCTTTCCTTTTCATGCGTAAAGGCACCCAAGGAAGCTTGTGATTCTGTACTCCTTCAGGCAAAGTTTAGGTTGATTGGATGACCTTAAAATTAAGCGAAGCTAAGAAGAAGAATCCAGAAAAACAAGAAAGAAAATGCTCTCAAGTAAGCTTTGGCAGCCTAAGCTACAAACATTATGTGACTATAATTCATCATTATCTTTCCTGCTTGTATGCTATTGCAGGAAGAACATGTGACATGTGGAATATTACTGGTATGACGAAATACTTACATTAAAAACAGTCATGTGTGTTATATTAGTGAGTGCTTACAGAGAGCTCTTATTGTGTGCGAACTGATCTTTAACATTACAGATGTCATATGACTGCTGTTACAAACAATGTCCTGAATAGACAGACACATGTAAATACACTGACTATTTACACAATAATTTCATGGTTATTTTTAATGCCCAGCAGATGGCAGGCTTCCTTCATGAAGCGACCAAATCTATGAATAAGATTCTTATTAAATTTCTGCTTCTGTTAATATTTTTAAATATACATATATTATTTATCCAGGCTTTATTCTTGGATTGCATTACGCTGTATTTTTCTACAGAAGAGGAACAACATCATTAACATAATGCATCCAATACAACCACAAACTACATCCTCAAAATTAATAATCTTCTTTCAACACCTCCCTGACTTGGTCTCAATGAAAACATCTTTACGCTGCACACTCACTCTACTGCACTCTCTACTTTACATTGCGTGTAGTGTTCATGTTACTGTGTACACTGCTGCAATGTAAGGAAATAACAAAATTAATCATCCTGTAGAAAAACAGGAAATCTCATCATCACAGCCACAACTGTCTCACAGCTGGAATGAAATTGGAGGACAGTTACTGTCTTCCTGCAGCCAGCAGGACTGTGACAGTGATGACTCTGACATGAGGAAATAATCTCCAGACTGTCTGCTGGTGAGAAGAAAATAATGAGTCCTTTATTCTGGAATTAAAAAAAAGTTATCTGAAGCCATGTGCTATGTACTGACTGCTAACACCTTCCTGTGCGCCACCAATTAAAATGAGTGTGAATAAAACAACATCGTAGCCAAAAATGGTTATTTCAGCTTGAGTAGTTTCTCCAAAGCACCAGAGATGTGGATTTGTGTTATGAGTGAAATGCAGTCCTCGGAGAGAGACACTGCATGCAGCTGCTGCGGAAGCTATTGTTACGAGTGGAGTGGAGCGTGGTAGAGAGAGCAGTGTCTGTTTATTTGATTAAAGCCATCCAGTCTGCAGCCTGACCAGACAATAACACAGTCAACACCCTGCGTTATGACAGAGGCCCCTCCCCCACCCCAACACACAAACTCTCTTCATCATTATCATCGTCGCAAAGCTTCTTCCTCCCACTTTCAGATGAGTCACAGTGAAATCCTCTTCCTCCGTCATTGCTATCAATTCTACATTACAGTGGACACAGTGTAAGAGTTTCAATTTGAATTTAAAGCTACAACCACAAACTTTTTTTGCTTTAAGACTGAAAGTGTGCAGTTAGCTCCGGCTCTGCTGCTCATTCTCTCAGTCAAGTTCCAGCAGCAACACTTAAATTGTCATGTAGATCAGTAGTTCCCTACCCGGAGGTCAGCAGTGGTAGAAAAACTATTCAGATTCTTTACCAAAAACAAACAAAGTCCAAACTTTCAAAATTCAACTACTACTACTTAAGTAAACGTATATTATCATAAAAATGTACTTTAAAAGCAAAAATACTCGTCCTACAGAACCCTTGATTGACATATTATTACATACACATGAATTCGGCCACATGAGTTTGTATTGGGCATTTTTGGGACTTTTCTCTAACTTTTGCCTTTAATTTCACCTCTTTAACTCTAACTGTAATTTATCTGAGGGGTTGAGAGGAACTCCTAAAAAGAATCTTGACAACGAGCCCCAAGTACACACAAACCAGCAAGTTTGGGAACTGCTAGTCTAATCTTGATCTTAATCTGAAAAGCAACTAGTAACTATAGCTGTCAAATAAATGTAGAGGAGTAAAAGGTACAATACTATCTCAAATGTAGTGGATTAGACTACTATACTCTAGAGAATGAAAAAGCAAAAAGCAAATCAGTAAAAGAAAGAGTTTGGTTGACCTGGTGACCACCAGTGATGATGGGCTGCAAGCAGACTTGTTTTAAGAGGTTACCAGCTGAAAAGGTCTGAAAACACTGATCTAATTGTGTCTGAGGTAATGTCACCTGTCAACCCTCCATTTTTATTTAATTTAATCTGATAATATTGACTGAGCTTTACATTCAGTTTCACTGTTATTTTATGTATTTTGCTATATCTCCATCACCATCACCTTTCCTAACCATAACAAAAAATTCCAGTTGGAGAGGAACATCAATATCTATGTATTGTGATTTTAATGGTTTCATTAAAAGTAGTAGCTTTAAATGGATTATCATGAAACACTAGGGAAACAGGATTTACTGGTGTTAAATGCTTCAGTATTTATTGCTGCAGCAGGTTAAACTTATTTTTCTCCCTATCTCGGTCTGTATCTCTTTTCAGGCAGACAGGCCACTAAATAAGTGATCATGGAATAAATGGTGTGTGCCAAGCAGGCTGGCAGGCAGGATGGATGCCTGTCCGCCTGACTGTTAAGTTTTATTGTTCTGAATAGACTACTGGTCCGTAGTCCCACACACACACACGCACACACACACACACGCACACGCACGCACACACACACACACACACACACACACACAATGAAGCTTTCCTACTCACACAAAGACAGAGAGGAAGGATGGCGAGACGTCCACATTTTAAACAGCTTACATGCAACTTCCAATTTTACTCCAACAGTGTTTAAATAGAGCTTTTTTTTTTTTGCATTTATATGCACTGCAATTTTCCCAGCATCACTAAAGTACAAAGAGATGGAGATTTCAATGGATGAATATAGAGAGAAACTGAATGAGACAGAAAGATTGAATGAGTTGAAATAGAAACAGAAAGCGGCTCCAATAAAGGATGATTCGAGGAGAGCAAAAGAAGAACAGGAGGTAATCTGAATGAGTCAACAGTGCAAAAAGAACCCTGCAGTAGCTGGACTGTAAGGAAAAGTGATGTATACAAAGAGAAAGAGAGAGGGGGCTGAGGATGGTATCGACTGTGTCATTCGTTCGGTGGGGGAGGGAGGGAGGGGTGGAGCCCAAACCGCTGCATGGAGAGAGGGAGAGATGGGTAGAGAGGCACAGAGGCAAAGAGGGAGAGATGGCGATACACTATCGAGGGAGGTACAGCCAGGCAGAGGGAAAGAGGTCAGGAGGGGGGGGGTAGGTGGGAGGACGAGGAAGATGGAGGGGGTCATGGCTCGAGGGTGGGGGCAGCAGGAGGAGAGCAGAGAGGGGAGAGAGGAGAGGATGAAGGAGGATTGAGATGGGGGATGGGAGGGGGAAGGGTGGAGAGAGACTGAGGCAAAGGGACAGGCACGTGGGAGAGCTTTTTAGATTGTTATTCTACGTTAAGTACGTCTCACTTTATCACATCTTTGTTTGCAACAGCGTACAGTATGCTGTCTAGTAAAGAGTATACACATTAGTCTTGTTACGTATTGTGTATATATAGTCTTACTTTTCTTACATTCTTTATTATTTACACTTTATTAAACATTGTACAACCTGCCTCGGCTTTATTGTGCTCACTGGTAGTGCTAATAAAGCATGAATTTGAATTTGAGGCAGAGAAATAAAGAGTGGAGGGTATGACTGAAAGGGAAAGGAGAGGGAGTGAGCCCTGGGACCTGGAGGTAGAAAAGCATGGCAGTGTGTGTAAGGAGTATTCATGCGTAGAGGCGAAGGCCAACCTAATTCCTGCCGCCTCGACACAAATCCCCCCTCAACAGCGGGACCACCGTCAGTGCCTCTGCATCCCTCCATCCCTGACTGCTGCTCTCCTCCTCAGCTCTCTCTATTCCTTGTATTTCCTCCTTTTCTCGATACACGCCTGCTAAACAGGGATCTGCCCTCCCTCTCTTTTTATATACATTCTCTCTTTCAGACACAAACAAGATGCAGCCTTCCTCATCCTCTACCTCTATTCCTC